ACATTCACATGTTTCACTACCAAAACAGTCATAACACTACTGAAATCGATACCAAATGTATCAGTAGTGACTGTTTCAGTAGTGACAATTTTAGTTCTTTTTTTGAGCAGAGCATAACTAGTCAGTACATGACTAGCAAACACAGCTTCGAACAGCTGTACACCAAATCATAATATTTTATTTAAAACACAAAAACCTTTACTTTAAAGTATGCATTTCAGCTGTGACACATACTGATTTTCAGACTTTAGGACACTTCAAAAGGCCATGAGGGACAGAAATACAGTCTCACTTCTGCTCTAAAATGCTCTGAAATGCAGGAGTGTGGCTTAAAGAAGGCTCCACCTGTGGACTAGAACACTTTGTGTTTCAAAAGTGACGATGTGTGGGACAACGTGGGACAGCAGTATTTGAATAGTTTTTTTTATTAAAAAATGTAACTCATGATGAATCTACATTTTTAAACTTCACTTTAAAAGAAATCAAAAAAGATCTTTTAAAACAACGCAAACAAATACAAAAAAGTATTACTATAATTTTTTACAAGTTGAAATTTAGGGGTTAGAACTCAGATAAGCCGAATTAATGGTGTTGTTTAAATGCTTTTATAGACCTGCCAAAAACTTAATTTTGTGTCGGTTCCCAAGAGTTGATTAGGGGATCCCAGACCCCCTGAGAGCCTCTGTATATGGGAAAATTATCATGTGAGAATGAATTATGACCATTTTTGGTATTTAGAACCCTACAAGAACGCAGCACTCAGTCCTTAAAAACGACTGACATGGTGGATTTGGACAGGACTGAAAGCACTGAGAGACACCTGTAAAAATGACATTACCCCACCTCCCCACAGTGTTATTCACACTAATCCTGTCTGAATAGTGCTTTAGACATTAAAGAGAACGATCAGTTATGATCCAGTTAGTGTGTAATTCTATATCTACAGTAGCAGCTAAACAGCTTTCTAAAGACATATTATGTCAACATGATTAAGGCAGTTGATGCAGATAGAGAAGAAAGAGAAACACTCTGATAAAGACATAAACACCAGTCTATGAACATAATATGGTATTAAAGTCCTCTGTGATTCCACTGAGACACAGCAGATGTAGACGTAGATAAGAGAAGAGCTTCACTGGCTTCACCAGATTTTTTAATGTGAGCTTCAGAAGCTGCTGACACGACAAAGCTGTCACTGAGAAGAAAGAAACTTGACATTAGGAAGGATGCAGCCAAATAGTTTCATTTTCTCACACTCCCCCCATCTCTTCATCTCTCTCTCTCTCTCTCTCTCTCTCTCTCTCTCTCTCTCACACACACACAGATGTAAAGATGTCTTCATAGAGGGTTCACATCATTCCCCAAGTCACGAAGAATGACACACACAAGTGCTTTGGGAACCGATGCTGAAATTAAGGAAGGAAGTAAATAGTGGTTTTGTTGTAGTGCTGTGCAGTGACGTGCTCTTCCCAAACTTGCTGCACTGTCATGCTCTCTCTGTGTGACTCAGATTAGGCCTGTGATGTTGCTTTGTGTCTCATGTTTCCTTCACGTCAATCAAAAAACAATTTCTTGTGATCTCAACTTGTTGCCATTCTGGCTGAATTGGAAATCGACTCAGATATTTTTAAAATATATATTAAGATTAAATATTTTTGTTGTATAGGGTTTTGTGCTTGCAGGATGAATGGCTCTTAATGCAGTGCTTTCATAGTTAGCAGAATCCTAAGCCAGTGCATAGCATTAGTCTTTCTGTGCTGCTTCTCTGAGAATGAACTAGGCTTGGGCAATCACAAAGTTTTACCCACAGTGTCAACACTCCTGACCAATGTTGTTATGTGTGTGTTCAGACGGTGGTCGACATTAGGCAACTTTTTATACCAGCTACAAGGCTGCTAAAGAGGTGCTTTTATTTTTACTCCAGTTTCAAGTAAAACCATTGCAAGGAAGTACTTTGTACGCTTGAACACTAGTGGTATACTGGTCGCAGCACGCAAGAAAAAAAAATAGACTCACAGCTTACAACTGTGCTTCATGCACACGTGAAGCCAGGATGAAAGGCTTTATTGATTATCACAAGAGCGAGCTGTAGCATCACAGCAGCAGCACTGTGCAAAAGAAGCCGTTCACAAGTCTATGCAGATACAGTGCATGGTTTAAGCTGCTGGTACAACAGGTACAAATGGAAGAATTTGAGATGAAAGCAGTTCGCAAATGCAGTCATGAGATTCCGTGTAAAGGAAATAATTTTCTTATAATAATACATTCAAACCATTTAAGTGTCACTGGCTACATTATGCAACACAGAGCTGCCATGATGTTTTTCACTCCAGAAAAATGAAAATTTAACTGTAAAAAGTATTGATGTACTGAAATGAAAATTTTTGACTGAAATTAAAATCCAAATTCAGGATACACTTGGACAAAAAACAAAAGGTGATAACAAATAAAATCTACTCACCTAAAATAAACTTACTCAAGTTGTTATAGTATATAGATGCAGTGAAATACAACATCAGTGACAACAGAGAATGGTTGATCATCCAAGGCAATGAATATATTTTAGTTATACTTTAGCATTAGTGCTGGGATTTTTTGGCTATTTCAAAAACTGTTGTTACAGATGGTGTCTGTGCGCTTGCAAGGACTTTCCTTTCTGCTTCTGTTCTGCTTCTGTTCTGTGTATCGAGGAGAATGCCATGTTTTCAAGTGGTATCAAACCTGAAATGTACAAGTTCTTGGGTGTTTATATGAATCTTGATGTAATCCTTGAAATGATCAATGTTTTTTAATCATGTGTCTAATGTCAATGGAAGAAACTGAAAGTTCCACATGGCTGATATTTTCACTGTTTATCTGCGGCTGCTCAAACTGTTTAAACACAATTGACCAGTTCAGGAAAGCGAAAGGAACGAACAGCGTTTTTAATCACTATTTATCATTTTTGTTACAACTAAAATGATTTGTAAAGCTTATTTTGTTGCCTATTTAAGTTTTGCTTTATTGGTCAAAACGTTTAGCTGCTGAAATTATTCTGCATTTTGTGAAAGCAGAGCACTTCAGAAAGGCTTGGCTGCTGGCTGTACTTAAGACTATGTTGTCTTTCCCAGTAATCTTTCAGCTTTTGTTCACATGAGACCTCTGTGATTTCTCAGGAACTGTATTAGATCTTGTTCAGGTAAGTCACGGTGTCAGTCTTATTGGGATTTCGTTCACACGCAACCTCTTCTGTTTACAGTTAATTTGCTGCGCGAGAGCTGTTGTGTGAAAGGGCTGTAGGGTAAATGGTAAATCTGCATATTTACTTGTTGACCATTTTGCTTTAATGCTGTAGCTAATCAGCTGGGACAGTCGGAGAGAATGATCAGAATTACGTTGCTAATCAGTGTTTAAATGACTAATGGAAAGGATGTTAAGGCAGAGTAATGGAAAAATGGTTGCTAGAGAAACAGCATAGTCTTCCTTAACATGTGGATTTGCTACCTGGGAAGAGATATTAACCAAATCAGTTTTTCACAATGTTAAATACTCACGAATACCTCCATGAATTCTGCCAAATTTTCAACTTTTCTTCATAATTAAGTGGTCATTCAGAGTGGGGGTTGATTAGAGAAATGTGCTAGAGAAATTCAGAAAAATTCAGAGTCAGCACTGCCCACAGTTGGTGGTGATTTGTACTAGATGTCTGGGGTTTAATGCCTCTTAAAGCCCCCTTACTGAAAGTTATGGTTACCCAATGCCTGAGACATTGTTTTATGATAGTTTTTATAAGATCTTAGCCTATTCATAGCAGGGAGGTACTTGCAGTACATTGTAAGGCAAAATAGTACCAAAGGAAAGCTTATGTTTTTGGATTTGCTATAATTATACCATTACTATATGAAAACTCAGTAGACATGACTAGCATGACGGTTGATTTGGATAGAAATTGAAAATGGCTATATAGACTAAAATGGCTATTGCAACCCCTGATTCCTATCACCACCACAATAAAAAAAATGGAGTCAGTAAGTTTCTGTGCCAGGCACAGATTCAAATCAAAACAAAATGTTTACCTTTCAGTCATTGAATCAGAAACTTTGAAAAAACTGTGGAATTTCTCTTTAAATTGAACTAAACAACATAGGCCATATCACCTCAGCTAATTAAAATATGGATAACCTCTATAGGGTGATAATTGGTGAGATACATGGGAGAATTTTCATGTGAATTATTTACCCCTAGGTATCTATATACACATATATATGTGTGTGTGTGTGTGTGTGTGTGTGTATGTATATATAGCTAGATAGATAGATAGATGTGTGTGTGTGTATATATATATATATATATATATATATATATATATATATATATATATATATATATATATATAGTATTGTGCGGAGGTCTAAGACCACCTTTTATTTTTTAATTTCCAGTCATAACAGCCATTAAGCACAATCCACTCTTGCTTTAGGTCTGAACAAATCCACAGGTGTTTCTGTCCTTCCACTGTGAGAAGACAACTCAGTACTATGAGTCTGGAAGGATGTGCAGTTGTCCAGAAGATGTTACTGAGAAAATGGAAAAAGACAAAGCTGCTGCTGGTGTTCTCAGAACAATGGACTGACCAGTCCAGACCTTAATATACTTGAACATGTTTGAGATTACTTGGATCGTGAGAAGCAGAAAATGCACCCAACTTCTAAGACCTAATCTTGGAGGTGTGAAAAATATCCCTGCAGATTTCTTTGACAAAAAGAGCAAGTCTCCTGAAAAGAAAGGAAACTGTAAGAAAGGCGAAGGGTGGACACGTCAGAATGTTTACCTTTCAGTCATTGAATCAGAAACTTTGAAAAAACTGTGGAATTTCTCTTTAAATTGAACTAAACAACATATAAGACTTTTTTTTTACATTTTAAGGTTTTTTTACTTTTTAACTCACAGAATTGAATGAGAAAATTATTGGTAAACAGACACAATGCTATTTCACCATTAAAGTATTTATGCAGCATGGAACTACAAGCATGACTAAACGCAGACTAAATTCAGCTTGTATTGAGTGCGTATTAACAGTTGGATATGATTAAAATGTAGTTTGATATATACATTGCATTTCTTAATGTTAGTTAAATGGGTTCTTTCTGCTAAACTCTTCTCATTTGTATGACTTACATACAGCTTCCCTCTGTCCAGCCTTTTCACTGGATGAAGTGCATGCATTAATGCATTCAAAATTTCACATCAGGCCTCCACATCCCTTTAAACCAGTTCCCCAGGCGTACTGAGGGGAGGAAGGAAAAACTGATGCTACCTCAGACCTAAACATAGGTTAAAAACATGGTGGACACCTGGTTCTCAGGGCTTTGTCTAATGGTTTCCTTTCCATTTACAATGGAAAGTCCCCACTTAGAGGAAAATGCATGTTTCACCAGCATTTCACTTCCCTTCATGGCTGCATTGACAGTGCTAAGTTTGTTTGTCCATGCCACTAGTCTTTTGAATATGAATGCACATTGTGTGTCGCGGCACCTTTTGACGAGCTGTTGTTGTGTGGAGCAGACTGGCCACATTCAGTCCTTGACGAATGGCTGTCTTGGGTGTTGGAGCTCCCTCTGAACAAGCAAAGGGTGTGCCTTTTGAAGGTCTTGTCCAGCAGGAAGTACATGATGGGGTCTGTGCTGCAGCGCAGAGCCGCCAGGCAGAGGAGAACATTCTTAATCTCCACATAGGTAGAGAGGGAGTGGCACTCTGTTCCATTTCCCCTAGAGTCAGTTTGTGCCAAGTTAATGAAAATTGCTTTGTAGATGTGGTATGGTAGGAGACAGACCACCAGCACAAATTGGATGACCACAATATTGCGGAACACTCTTACATAGACCCTCTGTCTATCAGAGATGATTGTGCTTTTTCTGGACCTGTAGAAATGCCTAATCACAGCCATGTAGGCACTTAACACTACAAGGAGGCAGAGGAAGAATATGACAATGCCTATCATGGCAAAAGCCTGAGAGCCAGACCCACCAACTTCCACTGCGACGCTGTAACACATCTGCTTGTCGCCATCCTCCACTACTTCTGTCTCTTTCATTGAGTAAACCACCACCGACGGTATTGATGCTGTCGCCACAATGGCCCAAGTCCCCAGGCATACGCCCAAGGCGAAAGAGGTTTGGCGCAGCCTGCTGAAGAAGACTTTGGGCAGGACTTTGGTGCATTTGCTGGGACGAGGCCCATGGCTGTGCTGGACGAGTGTGGCACAGCGACTTAGTGCCAGCCAAGCGAGAATGATCATGCCTACACCGATGTTGGTGTGGAGAACTGGGGTCAGAACATTTATAGCCAGCCTACACATTGAGCTCCTTGAAGACCAGCTGGTGCCAAGAGCATAGTAGGCTGCGATGAAGGGCATAGTGAGGCACAGCAACAAGTTTGAGATTCCTAGATTGATGAGGTAGATGTGCGTGGGAGATTTGCCTGAGATCTTTGCCATGAAAATCCAAAGGGAGAGGACATTCCCAGCCAGGCCGGTCAGGAACATTGCACTGTAGAGGATGGGCAGGAACAGATGGGTGGTGAAGGTCTGACACAAACATATGGAATTGTTAGATGCTATGAGCTGGGGACAGACTGCCATTGGACTGCCAGAAGGCGAGATCGCCAGGATCCTACATGAAAAAAATAAATAAGCATTTTCCTTTCAGTGTTGTATTTCACACATACAGTAACCACTACAGTAGTCATAGAAAAGGCTACCATCTTTATTTTAATATTTATCAACTGTTCTTGTTTAGAGAAGGCATAAAAGGGGTATGGTATTTAAATGCTGACTACAAAACTTGCCTTGACTTTTCATGTAAGCTCAGTTTAGTCAACAGAGCTACCGGAAGAGCACAGTGTGGTTTTCACCTGTTACCATTTTTGCATTTTCAAAACCACTAAAGGACAAACCGAAACATGTGGACTGAACATGACATAGTTCATTAAATTAATTTTTAAAAAAAGGTTTATGGAATTAGACTAAAAGAAAACAATGTAGTTTGAACTTAACCAGTGCTAGACATAGGATCTCTGTGTATATTAAATACCTGTGACTTTGTTGATGCACTATGTGTGTGCTAATTACTGTTTAAACTAGTCTTAATCCAGATGCCTGCTAGGTTTTTTACAACTATTAACCACAAATAAATGGTAAAAATAAAAGTAAAAACAGAAAATAAGTAAAGGTAAAAATAGCAAAAAAAGAATAAAGCTGAGACACATAATATCTTCTCCTTTTCTTGCAAGCTTCAGTGAAGCTTATGATGTAACACATATTTGTTCTATATATTACATATCATAATGAATATTACTACAAAAAAAGGTTCTAAAAACTTAAGTGCAAAATGTTTAGGCCATATTAAAAATATGGATAACCTCTATAGGGTGATAATTGGTGAGATACATGAGAGAATTTTCATGTGGATTATTTACCCCGAGGTATCTGAACAGAATATATATATATATATATATATATATATATATATATATAGATAGATAGATAGATAGATATATAGATAGATATATGTATATATATATAGATATAGATATATATATAGTATTGTGCGGAGGTCTAAGACCACCTTTTATTTTTTAATTTCCAGTCATAACAGCCATTAAGCACAATCCACTCTTCAGGTCCATCCTTCCACTGTGAGAAGACAACTCAGTACTATGAGTCTGGAAGGATGTGCAGTTGTCCAGAAGATGTTACTGAGAAAATGGAAAAAGACAAAGCTGCTGCTGGTGTTCTCAGAACAATGGACTGACCAGTCCAGACCTTAATATACTTGAACATGTTTGAGATTACTTGGATCGTGAGAAGCAGAAAATGCACCCAACTTCTAAGACCTAATCTTGGAGGTGTGAAAAATATCCCTGCAGATTTCTTTGACAAACTTAGAGCAAGTCTCCTGAAAAGAAAGGAAACTGTAAGAAAGGCAAAGGGTGGACACGTCAAATACTGAAAAACTTCATATTTAGTTGTTGAGGCTTCTGTGTAATTTTCTGTTAAATACATGTTTTCTTTGTTTTCATGCTGTCTGAAAAGAAATAACACGTATTTAATGGGTATGTTGACTGAAAATTACATAAATAAAGGATCACTGATTTTTGCTCTGTGCTGTATTTCAAGATATAATTATATTTTTTCACAACTTTAAAGCTTCAGTTTCTCCTGTTTGGCGGCAGATAATCATGAGAGCATTTCAAAAGCACTGTATTAACAGCTGTAAACTTGGGAACACTTCAGAGTCATCTAGTTACATGCACCGATCAGCCTTTACATTAAAACCACCTCCTTGTTTCTTCACTCCTTGACCACATTCAACAAAGCTTCTCAGAGGAGGAGTGCTGATGTAGGATCTGTTCCTATCAGTAAAGGCATAGTAACTAAGAGAGCTATCTGTTCCTAGATCGGCACTCCTACTCTGAGAAGCTTTGTGAATATGGGCCTTTGTCCATTTTATCAGCTCCACTTACCATATAAGTGCACTTTGTGGTTCTACAATTGCAGTCCGACTGTTTCACTACGCTGTTTCTGTCTTGCTCCCCTTTTATCCTGTTCTTCAATGGTCAGGACCACCATTGCGCAGGTATTATTAGGGTGATGGGTCATTCTGCACTAACACTGATGTGGTGGTGGTGGTGTGTTAGTGTGTGTTGTGCTTGCACGAGTAAATCAGACACAGCAGTGCTGCTGGAGTTTTAAACACTTCAGTGTCACTGCTGGACTGAGAATAGTCCACCAACCAAAAACATACAGCCACCAGAGTCCTGTGAGCAGAGTATGACGACGACTGACACAAACAGTGCTGCAACAGATGAGCTACTGTCTCTGACTTTTCTTCTACAAGATGGATGGACAGTGTTTAAAAACTCCAGCAGCACTGCTGTGTTGATCCACTTGCACCGGCACAACACACACTAACAAGCCACCACAACATCACTGTCACTGCAGTGCTGAGAATGATCCACCACCTAAATAATACCTGTTCTGTGGTGGTCCTAGCTGTTAAAGAAAAGGATAAAAGGGGACTAACAAAGTATACAGAAAAACAGATTCCAGTCTGACTCCAGTCAGACTCCAGTCTGACTACTACTGACTGTAGAACTACAAAGTGTAGTGGAACTGTAAAGTGAGATCTCGCTTGCTTAAAAAGTGTGAATAAACATGTTGAAATTTGGTTGTACGCCCATGTGTGGTTATTGCACAGCCTGAGATGTAAAAAAAAAAAGTTATAAGTACTTTTTAAAACAAAAAAGTCAGCATTATTTTGTAAATGTGACTTTTTAAAACTCCTTAGATTGCAGATTAAAACTACATAAGACATTGGAACACTGCAAAATTGAGTCATCGGTTAAATATAAAGTTATAACCTGGTTTCTTAACATTTGGGTTCATTGAACTGAAAATGTGAAGGCAACCAGGTTACTTGCCCTTTTAAGTAAAAAACTGAATTGTTTTTTTTACAGTGCAGTGGATATTTTGTGATACAGCACAATAAACTTACTGAACATCATCTTGATCACCCTTTTTCCACAAACGTCCTTTGAGATGCTTTTCCTGGCCTTAAATATTTGGTTCTTAGTTATGCTGTATGAGTTTCTGACTAAATGCTCACTTTTAGATGTCATCTGTCCAGCAAATCATACACCTTGGTTCCAAACAGAGTATCTTACATACGTAAGCAGACATCATTTTTGCTTGGGTTTATCTAAAAGCAGTTTTGATCACAGTTTTTGAGTAAATACATGCTTAGAAGTATTCTATAATACATTTTTAAATGATCCTCTATATGCTGTGCATTTTCGTACCATTAAGGCTTAAGCTAGTCGAGAAAAGAAGCATTATTAAGTCACTTGACATGCTAAAGACATTCTTCATATTCTGGCAGCACTTTTCTCTTTGACTGATGCATTTGTTAATGAGTATCTACTTACTCTGCTGTCATATGCTCCTGTGCGCTGATCTGTTTGCTGTAGGTCGGTGGAGTGTTTTGCTTCAGCCCTTGTCTAATTAGGAAGTGATGTGGAGACGAGAGGATGTGGACTCACTTCTCTTTTATAAAGATAAACGCTAGCACTTTCCAAAACGACCACCCTTCGTCTGCAGTTCTGTGATGTTGAGTACTGTTCTTCCACTTTTTGTCAGACTCAAAACATAATATGCCATATTCATGCTTTTTGCACAAAAGTATGGCCAATAATGTGTACCGGCATCTCCTGCCCATTGTTTACTGAGGCTCTCGGATGCTTTTTCCTAATCCATAGCTAATTCTGTGTCATACTTCTTTTGTTTGAATTGCTACAGCAGGGTCTGGTGTTCCGGATTCAGTCTTTGATTAAAGTAACAGTGGATGAGGTCATTCATCATCAAAGTCATATGCTTGCTTGCCTGGAAAATTGTCCTCTTGTCTTCTTTCAGCCTCTTCTGGACACAGTAGTGAATTACAAGCACTAAAAAGGGGGTTAAAAAAGCTATTTTTGTGTTCAGTCACATTGCAGTTAGTATAAAATGCTTTAGTTATAGTGGCCCCCAAAAAATATTTAGACACTTTAATCATGTAATCCAAATTCTTTAGGTTAATTCATAAAATGTTTCAGTAAATCATATTGTTTTTTTGGAGAAAAACATTTTTAGCGCAATTTTGGCCCTCTTTATTTTAAAATATCTCTAATAACTGTGTAGTTACATATTAATAATGCATGCAAAAACATTGTAACTACTGGTGTTTACAGCTTAATTACAGTAGTACAGCTTATGAGAATACATGTGTATCAACTACAGTTTTTATTCATATTATTGCACACGTGTATCTTCATAGTTGTAGTAGCATGTTTTCAATTATGTAATTACACTTGTGTAATATGGTGAACTGCTGTTTTTATAAGAAGAGCTTTCTGATTGTAACAGGATGTTTACAGTTACCTACATTATGTGAGTAGCTGCACTGTATCTGCACAGGAAATGCCAAATTTACTGACCTTTAGCTAGCTGTAGAAGTATTCTGGTGTTGTGACATGATAACCTAAACCAAAGTTCTGGCTTCAACCTGTTAACTGTCACTCCATTTTTGCCTGAAATGGCATACCCAAAGTAAAAGGAGCGCTGTTCCCTCATCCTTTGGGCTACAGTCATTATCTATTTGAAAGGTAACACTCTGTTTTTTCCCGTCAGAATAATGATATGAATTACTGACAGAGAGTGACAGAGGTTAGAGTTTATTTCCGCCTGATCTCTGAATCTTGCCATGTTATCAAGACCGCATCTTTTGGGTTATAGTGCCTCTGTGGATAGCAGCAAGACTTTGAAGGTAAGGACCCAGAGATTTGCTAGAGTTTGCTCATTCAGTGCTTGTGTTGCAAATGAAGCGATCATGACTGCTGTGAATAATGGATCATAAAATGGTTTGCGGGAATTTATTCCTGAGATTTCAAGCATTCTAACAGTATATTGCATCACTGTATTGCTGGATGAATCGATGCATAGAAATCATGTATACAAATCAGAAGTGAACGCTTCAATGTAAGTGTGCTGGTACCAGTACAGTGATCTAGAAGAGTTTAAACCTTTCTGTAATGTGATGGTTTGTTCCCATTGGCATGTTCTGTGGTGGGCAGAGCTGTTAGCATGCTAGCGAGGCTAACAGCAACAGCAGATGCCCTTCATGTTGGTGCTGTGAAATTACGGATTGGTATTAATCCATTTGATTTGTGCTTCAGCACAAATATTCCGCAGTAACAATGTAAAAGCTACACTTATATTAACAAGTACAGTTTCTGTATAGTTGTTATATAGATACAGTGAAATTACAGATTGGCAATATGAACAATGCTTTTGCGGTAGTATAATACACATTATTTCAAGTATAATAACACGTATTTTAATTATTTACGTTAAAGTTACTCTTAAAGAACCAAAGCCTGAACTTTGGTTAGGTTACCTTGTAACAACAAAAGCATACTACTACAGTTAGCTAAATATTAGGACAGCTAGCCTTTTCCTGTGCAGATGGTGTGTACACCGTCAAATAGTGTAAATGTAGCCTCAAAGGTACGACAAAGTCCAACTTTATACATTACATAAGTTATTCCTAGGAGAAAGATGCGTAAGTTTACCGTTTTATAACCTGATGTTTAAAACAGAACAATTACATTAAAAGCTGGAGAAAAGACACAGTGTGTGGAGTCAGTACAACTTAAAAAATATAATTGCAGTGCATTATGGGGCAATTATCTTCCCTAACTAATGGTATTGAAGACATACCGTTGATGGTACCACTCCATAATGTAGATTACTACGTACCTCCTGTTACAAAAGTGAGGAAAGTTCTTGTTGTTAAAAAAAAGCAATTTGTACAAATGTAATTATCCGCACTATGTTACATAAGAGAAATTATGCTGTTACAGCTATCAAGATACACTTGTATACCGTCACTGTCTGAGCAAAACCTTGTATCTTCAAAGTGGTAACTGTACAGGAAAAGGCAAAAACATATTTTATTTTTAATGTAAATAAATCTACCTACAGACCTTTTAGACCATTCCTTTCATCCATTCATAATACAATTTACAATGTAAAATGCAACTGGCATGTTCAAATTATGCAAATAAATAAAGGCAGCAAAAATGGAGATACGAGGTTTTGTTCCAGCAGCAGTGATATACATGTTGATACAAGTATATTTATCTGAGCTGTACTACTGTAATCCATCTGTAATAGTGAATTCATAACAGTAGTTACGTTGTTGTTGCGTTGATTGTTAATGTGTAGCTACACAGTTATTAGAGACAATTAAAATAAAGTGGAAGCCCACATGAAACTGATGGTAGACTCTTTGTGTGGATAAAGCCTGGAGACACTAAGAGCACTGTAAAGCACAGAGGTGGAAATATCAACATCCGGGAGCTTGTGTTCATTGATGGGATTGTGTGCACAAAGACATTCTGGTTGTAAATCTGCAGAAGTCTGGAAATAAACTTTTCAGATGTTTGCAAACTAAACCAACCAGCCACCTTTTACAATGATTTGTTTTACAGTTGGCAGTTTGCTTGCTAACATGATGGACTCAATGGTTTTTTTTGATGTCTAAGTACTTCTTTTTACACTCAGCATTAGGACCATACATGCAATCATATTACAGTCACAAATTAAAGTTGTTACTCAGTGCAATTCAGTTTAGCAACAGTATTCATTCTGCACATTGTCAAGTACTTTAAACACGCACACAAACAATTTTGTCTGTGCATTCTGATTAATGATGTTTATATAAGGCTTAACATAGTCCAAAATTCGTTTTGTGCTCAGGTTAAGCATTTGCTTTATGTTTTATCTATTTTTCAATTTGGATTTTTGCACCTGTTTACATTATACTTCATTGATTTGAATTAGCCTTTATTTTAATGCTGTTCATACATTTGTTCAATATATGCTCAAAAGTATCCAGACACCCCTTCGAATTAGTAAATTACTTTACCTTAGGAAATTACTAAGCTACTTTAAGGGGCACCAATTGCTGATAGAGGCCCTTAATTGCACACACACACACAGCATAATCATGTTTGGCCTGCTAACTAAGCTCTCTACCAAACACCACAGAACATGTTTGATTTCAGTTTACTGTCACTTTTACTTTTGCTTTCTCAGACATTTTTATCATCTAAATTTGTGTCAACAGAGCTACAGTTTTTTTAAAATCAGGCCTGTACTGCAAAGGGTGGCACATTTTGGGTTAAGGTAGCCTTCTGTTTAACATAGCCTGACAGACTACAGATCCAAACACAGAACAAGTTTAATTTTGCCTTTCTTTTCCTTCAACGGTTGCTCGACCTCACTCTCTCAGATTTTAATCATTATTTTTAATCATCTAAATTTGTGTCAATGCTTTAGTTAGCCAGAATTGAACAAGTGCTGTGGGGGGCAGAGCTGTTAGCATGCTAGCGACGCTAATGCTAACCAGCTCCTCTCTCCTACTTAGCAGCACTTTTAACATTTGCCAGTTATTCAGTAGATGGTTTTGACATTATTTTAATGATGGATTGGAAATTGTGCGCTGTATTCACTTTTTCTATTTATCGGTAACCATGTAAAGTGAACTACTTTTTTTGATTCTGAAACAATAATAGACGAGCTGACAAAAGTATTACAGCTCAGCTTTTACACAAATACCATCATATACCATATTCCTGAGAGAAATTTCAGGAGAGTATGAAGGTATGAAAACATAGATACCACCCAAGCCTAGTTTGCACTTGTGATGTCGCCCAGTTATGTCAATGTGTGAATTGTGTTTATATTTATCTTACTTGCTAAGATTATCCCATCATAGATATTTGCGGTAATAGAAAATGAAAGCAGTGGAAACAGCTCTCTTGGCAAGCAGTTGCAAATAGTGAGGGCAAACCACCACAGACAGAGATACAGAATCATGATTATCTGTTATGCTTCACGGTTGCAGCGTGTTTGATCATCGGAGGATGGCCAGCTAGAAGAACATCTGCAGGCTGTAAAACACATTAACCAACTGAGTAGCTGTCATAAATTTACCTGTACAATTTGTTCCTTCATACGCTTTATTCTGTCCGTGAAGCTACTTAATGTTAAGTATGCATTGCCTGTTCACTAATTTAAGTGTCATTCTTCTTCTTGAAAAAATGATACTGACTTACTTCTGTATATAAAATTGGCATCTTGCACTGTTTGCTGTCTGTGTGCATGTGTTTACATCTCACTTTAGCCTCCTACAGCTGCTTCTTCTGCTATTTTATCACGACACCATTTAATTATGATATACATCAAAACTTGAAGTGCAACTCGTCTGTACATTAAACTTTGCAATACACTATGGGTTTTTAGTAGTGTGCTATATGGCTCACTCTACCAAACTGGTACAAAGTCAGAGTTGAAAACCCTTTAGACTAAAATCCTTTTGCTTTGAGTGACCTTATATCTTAATTACGTTTGTTATTAAAATAAATGTTCCATTTTGTCACTAACTAGAATGTCATAACACTACTGAAACTTTATTAAATGTTTCAGTAGTGACTGTTCTAAGTAATGACAATTTTAGCTAAATTTAAGCAGAACTCAGAAACACTGGCCAGTACAAATCCAGCACCAAATTGTCCTTGAAAAATAATAAAATCAAAAAACATACTTAAAGGTCATATAAAATATTATCATAGATTTCTTTTACTCATTTACTTTTTATTTCAGGATGTAAATACACACTTTGATTGCAGCCTTAGTGAGTTTTTCACAGGACCAATGACCCCACCCATGTAGGCCTATTTCACATGACTTCATGTTTTCCTGGTGGTGAGTGCTCATGTTTGCTCAGCGGTACTGCTAGCGTTTCAACACCACCACCAGCGTGTTCAAATGTGACAGTAAAGCATGTTAATATGTGACGTATTATGTTACCTTCTTCTTGCAGCCCTTTGTAGTCTTATGTTAATAGCACATACTTCTCTGCCAGTAATTAATTAATTTCAAATTGAGTTGCGTGTTCTGATATGTAAATTATGTCATTCCTTTAACCCTGTTGTTATAATATGAAGACTAAAAGCAAAGAGATAATAAAATGGTAGTAAGTAGATTTTGGGTGTTTTTGGAACTGGATTAATGGCCAGTACTTGGTCACTTCTGGATGAAATGCTGTGAGGGCCTCGTCTGCTGAGTGTTCTGATATGTGAACTGATCTGATATGTCTGTAGCCTTCACTGTTCTGAAGTTGTGAAGGGTAGAAGGCAGCTAAGCATGTTGCCCACAAAATGCATTAACCTTTGGTCTTGAATTTTTTTTTTTTTGTTTTTTGAACTTGAAAAGTCATGAAAAGTTATGGAATTTGAAAATGATTGAAGTGTACAAACACTACCACACTAATTTTCAGACTTTTGCACATATTTGCTTCAGAACAATGGGATCTGACTGCTCACCGTGTGGACATGAGGGACAGGGATGCAGTCTCACTTCCTGCTTTGAAATGCAGGGGTGTGGCTAAAATAAGGCTCCACCTTAGGACTAAACTCTTTATGTCTGGTGGTGACATGAAAACGTGGAACATTCACTGAATAAAGTTTTTTTAATTCAAAAATTAAACTCATGATAAATTGATGAAAGAAATTACACAGATATTTTAAAAACAAAATTTTAAAAATGCATGTAAGGGTTATTTTCAGAAGTTGAAATGTAGGGGTTAGGGTTTGGGAAAGCCACCTCCCAAAAGAAAGTACCTTATCAATGATGATTTGTATATTTTTAGCTTATTACAATATCGAGTAATGCCTTGCATTTAAATTGATCATCACACAATATTTGTAAATATCTAAGGTCTAAATACTTTATTGTGTTTTTTTTTATTTGTTGCACTGCAGATTGAACTAATTCAATAGAATGGTTCATATAAGGAGTGAAGATTACCGTTGAGATTTCGAACAACACTGCAAAATGGGTGACACACTATATAGTGTACAATTTCTGTTATGAGCAGCGATTCTGAACACAGCACTAGAATATTAAGTCTAGTCTTGGACAGAATTATAATTTCAGTGGTGATTCTCCTTTGAAAAGACTTTATATTCTAGACTTATAGTTACTGTCTGTTTCTATCTCAAAGTCTTGTCGATTTCTTACCATTACTCCTATTTAACATTTGGGCTCAACTCAGTGGCTTGTATGTTAGGTGTGATTTGGCTTCGTGTAATTTCTGGTTTAGGGTTGGGTCTCACGTTGCGCTTGACTCGGCAGCAGGGCAAACGCAGCACCAGGTGCAGCATTGGATGCAGGCAGCAGCTGAGTGCTGCCACCACGATGGTTAGAGTCTTCACATCCAAGTCTTTTTGCTTTTGCTGACAGTCTTTGCTGTCCGATGCAGCCATTATCCTGATCCTCTGCACATGGTAGGGCAAGAAACAGGCCACAAACAGAACCACGGAGGCCAGGATTTTCCTCCTCACCTTTAGGCCTCCTCCTGGCCCAAATCCAGCACCAACCATGCTTCCCCCTCTCACCTTCTGCAAGTGAAAAATCAGCAGACCATAACTGACCAGCATCAGGCCGAGGATGAAAAAGAATATTCCAACGCCTATGGCATGTATAGCGTCCACTTGCTCCATTCCTTTGTTCACCAGCTGGTCAAAGCAGGTAATCAGTTCTGGTCGTGTAAGATTCAGGCTTGCCTTATATCCTAGGGAACCACTTACAATGGTGATTCCCAATATCCAGGTGACGGCGCAGATGGCCCAGCAGAGCTTTGGCTGCCTGAAGGCTTGGAAGAAAGCCCAGCGTGGCTGTACCACTGTAGCATAGCGGTTGATGCTAGTCCACAGCAAAAAGGACATGTTACAATAGAGGTTAATGGAAAAGAAGGAAACCATAACAAACCCTGCAGACAAGCAGATGGAGGAGCCAGCCTTCCATTCAGAGCCAGAGCTGAAGTAGGCCGTTCTGAAGGGGAAGCTGCAGCAAACCATCAAGTCAGATATCACTATGTTTAAGGTGAAGATGACGGTTGGTGTCTTTTCAGATCGCCAAAGGTCCAGCGTGGCAAGTCCATTGACCACGAAGCCCACAACAGCCAGAGTCAGATAGATCCAAGGCAAAACTGTAATGTGTTGTTGATCATGCGCCAGTGAACACCTTTTACTGGAACCAGAGAAAATACAAGGAAATTGGAGATGTTTTTATTGACAGCAGAGATCACTGTCTTATTTACATTGCTAGTTCGTGCAGTAAGTTTTGTTTCTCACATTTCTGTTTAGCTAAAAGTAGCTTCACACATACGTGAGAGGAAATGTGCACCACCTGACCATGAAATATAAGCTATTTGAGGAAGCTTAACTTACAGTAATCTTTCTACCAGTGGTTTTTCTCCTCCTGTTTCATGCATTTATAAACTAAGAAGACAGTCACTACACTGACTGAGTGTGTTTTTGTTGTCTCACTAGTTTTTGCTGTTAATATTTGCACTGAAAAATGTACAGCATTTCTCAGTTCCAGTCCTAAAAACCCTATGTATTATGCATTTTCATGCTTCTCCTGTTCTAAGATGCTTAGCTCTACTCTGGCTTAATACTTACCTGGTGAGTTGAATCATCAGTCATATATGAAAAAGGAAGGGACAAAAATAGAAATACATGCACATGTACTGTGCGGTGTGTACACGTTTACTGGTAAACGTAATAAAAATAGAGCAGTTCAAATGAATTGACCACGTTTGATTAAAAAAAATCATTGTTTAATTATTTAATTTCTCCATAAATCAGCAGGGATTACTTAGCTGTTCGCACGATTATAATGCATACTGATCTCACTCATGGCAAGAAAGAAGGCCTTACCCATTTAATGATGCATAAACACTTATATGATTATTATTAATGTATAATCATCAGCATTTGATTCCTGTAGATTCTGGATAGAGGCGAGTTTATTGCTTTATGGCAGTTAAGAGCTAATAAGAGTGTAATAAGTACTTCAATATCCATATTCTAAAGTGCAGTTTTAGCCATTGAACTCTTATGTGGAACACATACGGACTGATTAATGATGTATCTGATCTTTTTTAATTTAGCCCGAATTGAGAATTCATGCTCAACAATTTGCACGAACTAGTCTTAATGAAGTGTTTATTATGCATTATAACAACTAATAATACAATTATTACTTGTTTTCACCTACCAGACCTCAAATTTTGTACTAATACTAATCATAATAAATAAAACTTAATGCATAGAAAAAACGAAGTGTCTACTTTGGGTTTTCCCTAACGAAGAAAAAGACAGTCATAAAGTCCTAATGTGTGGTTCCTTAAAACAAAATGTTGACAAGTCCTTCATTGTTTGTCTTGCATGGTTTGTTGCTGTTCAGTGAAGTACATTTGTATTGGTTGGTCTTACTGTAAAACTCTGATTTGAATTCAATGAATCTTTAAAATAATCATTAGGTTACGCTGTTACTAATATCACATCCCTAAATCAAAGTATAAATATAAGCATATTTAATAAGAAGTGTGCACATGGTAAGGCATATATAATCAAAGCATATGCATGATACAAGCGTATATAACTAAAGCGTGTGCACGATACAAGCGTGTCTAATCAAAGTGTGTGCAGGATATTAGCGTGTATAATCAACATGTGTGTATGTACAAGCATATATAATCAAAGTGTGTGCACGATCAAAGAGCATTAGTTAATTAGTTTGGTCCTAGTATAAGTACTTTTATGCTTCAAATATAGACAGATGATATTTAGTACATAAGAACAATGTGACATGTACCTGCAGTTGCTGTCTGTTCCATTGATTCCTGAGAAATTTGTTGCATTACCATAGAGCTCTGACATACTGGGTATTGTTTTCTTGTTGATTTCCTCTTAATTTCTGATGCAGTGCATGCATTCTCACAACACCTTCAGAGCGTGGGCCCTAAGGGGGAGGGTTTGATCTTTTCAGAAGGGAACTAGGCTGGTTCTTTTTGACCACATCCTGCACTCACGGCTAAACCCTTAGCTGTGTACTTGTTCTGATGCTTGTCGTATATCTTTGTTGTTATTTTTGTATCTGTGTATCACAGATTCTTAAGTTTTGAATGCAGTCACACATTTATTACCACCTCGGTTTTTAAACTATCACACTGACCAACTCGGATCCTTTTTTCCTTCACAGAGCATTATTTAGGTCACAGACGATTGCAGCCTTCTGCCAGCAGAGGGCACTATCTATTCACGGCTGTTATTAGTGGTTCCCTTTTATGGAGTTTCTCAGTGAACGTTCCACTGAATCAGTTTTTTACAGCTGCTCCCCTCAAAACATGTAGAATACTGTACTGTATTACATTTATGCAGATTGTCAAAGTTGTTATGTACATACTGAAGAGCATTTTGCTCAAATGAAGTTTGGTATATCGGGGGCGCCCCTAGGGCAGTGTTTGGTGGGCCGAGGGCCAAAAAGAAAAAAGATTGTCCATATCTAGAAACTAAGTGTGTTTCGCTCATTAGGTGAGAGGGTGGGGTTAGGATAACCTTCTGATGGGCCAAAGCAATTGTTCCTCAGTATGTGGGCGACATTTGGGGTGAACCTGAACCGTGTACAGATCCGGTCATATGCAAAAGTTTGAACACCCCCTCGTAAAATTACATGTTGATTTTCTAAATCCTCTACAGGAAACACACTTAAATAAGACATTTTTGTGCACAATTTAGCACACAATTTCTACTTATTTGCTGAGTCTAACATGGAAAAAATAAAACATAAAATGTGACAATTTAGAAACTCAGTGTTGCTCCTGCACACCATGTATAATGGTCTTAGTACGTTCAAACAGAATCAGTCCTCATTTTAATCATTTTATTATTTATTATTAACATATTTACTATAACATAACAATGCAAGTACAGTAGGCGTTTCTGATACATTCCTAAACGCATTAATAAAAGAGCATCTGTTTATGTTTTGATATGTTTTGTACATGAATAAACAAAAGTTTACAAAGATTGAAACTAAGCAGCTTAGAACATTCATAGTGTTTTCTTGTGATTACCTAAGAGATTTAGTTTTGAGCATTAATTCTTGTATACTGCATCAGTACATTCATCCTTTGTTGTTTGGAATTGCTTTAAGCCCAGACACTGGAAGATTTAGCATATAGATAATAGGTCTACATGACACCCAGGCATGCCTGCATGTGTAGCCTGTGCAATTGACTGTAACAAAGTCAGTCATGTATCCGAAGGCTTGATCTGAACAGCAGTCTTTCTTCGCAAAGTGGTGATCTCGCTGTCTGTAAGCTGCTCCCGTTGGCTTCTCCCAGTGTCATTGCTGGAGCTGTTGGAGTGTCCTGAAACCACCAGGCGGATGCATTTACACAGAAGCTGCAGCACAGTCCTGCGCACAGAGCCACATAGCACGAAGTACATGACTGGATCCAGGCAGCTGTTGAAGGCAGACAGCAGCAGAGCTATCTCGTTGGTCTTGTCCACCACCTCAACCCACTGGCAGGAGACATCTGTGATCTGGGAGAGGATGTAGAAGATCCTCCCTAAGTGATAGGGCACAAAGCACACGGTGAAGAGAAAGAGAATAAAGAAGGATTTGCGAGCTGTTCTGCCGTACTTGGCTGCATTTGGAAGATCAGGCTTCTCCTTAGAGACACGCAACAGCCCCATTGCGATCTTCCCGTAAGACATTACAAGGGCTCCATAGACCACCCAGAATGTGACCACTAACACTAAGTTGAAATAACCCTTCCATTTGGCGTTGTGCAGGTGTTTATACTGGAAACACTTAGTGGATGGTGTGTTATCCTTATTCAGGGCAATATATGGTAATATCGCAGCAATAGCCACCACCCACAGAAGGCAGCATGTGAGAATGCTCTCTCGACTTCTGAGAAACCTCTGCCTACTGGAGATCCTTTGCAACTTCAGGTAACGGTCAATGCTAATCAGACCCAGCAGGACAATGCTTATGTACATGTTCATGTAGAAGACATTGCCCACCACCTTGCAGATTATTGGATTCAGGACCCAGCAGTCATTGTTGGCATGGTAGGCTATCCGGAAGGGCAGGCAGACCACAAGGAGCAAGTCAGCCACCGCCAAGTTGATGAGGAAAACTCGCACCGAGTTCTTCTTGGAGTGCAGATGCAGGAACACCCAGAGAGCCAGGAGGTTGCCAACTAAGCCAAACAGGAAGAAGATTGAGTAGGAGACAGCCAGAAGGACCCGGAGGCTGCTGCCATCTAAAGTGCAGTTGGCTAGACCGTCTTGCTCTTGAGTTCCTACCAGGCTGTTGGATGTGGGCGTGGTGTTGTGTAAGGCTTGGAAGCAGTGCTCTGCCATTACAATCTGTTGGAAGCTCAGACCTTAGAAAGAGAAGTAAATTGTTATTGTTTTTATGTGGCATTGCTGCTAACTTAACCCTCAGTTTCTTAACCCTTAGTTTCTTTAATTTCACACTTCAGAACTCTTGAGCTCCCAGAGGAAGTTGCCTCATGCAAGAGGTCAATACCAGCATTCGTACACTCTAACAAATACTGTTAAGGGGCAAAAAGTAATAAAGTATGACATTACAATCATCAGTACTTAAAGAACACTGATCAACTGTATGTTTCATTGCAACAAGAGCATCATTAGTCCTGTTTATCTGGAGTCAGTGCAGTGTAGAGTGTGATATCTTATATAAAACTCATCATAGTTTTCAGTAGTATTTTTTTAAATGTGTACATTTGGTACCTTTTTGTCTGTTTCAACTTTTCAGATGTCAGAAAAAAGAAACATTGTGATGTACATTGTATCATATTGTGACCTTATATTTTACCGTATCGCCAACCTCTACCAGGAATAAATGTTTTTTGAGTCGTTGCTGCCACGTCAAGTCTAAATTATTTGTAGCCTCTTTCTGCAGGACCCCTTTATTCTTAATTAATATAATCAAATAAAATACATTGGAATCCCAAAGTCTGAGACCACATTGAAAATCTATTAGGTTTTTCTTATATTAGTTCTTTTTTATAGATTGTAACTGCCACAATCGAAAAGTAGCATTTAACACAATAACAAGAACTTTTGTAAATGTTCCTCGCTCACTTACAAAAGTGAAAATCTAGAACTTCCGGTTTTACATGCACAGTTCCATCATACAAATATTCCATCAGGTTTATTGGGGAAAAATTGCTTAGCTCAGCCTTCAATAGAGAATAAAGACTCTATGTCTACATTCCTGCACTGTGTTGGTTTTGTTCATGCGTTGCACATCTGAGCTGTTGTAGAGAGTTGCACACTTATGACATGTATTCAATTGTTGTTGTACTTCTTATTTATATTTATATTTCTTTTTTTTTTTATAGCATCCAGTAAGGAAGTTGCGACCTCAATCTTGTTGTACTTGTGCAATGGCAATAAAGATATTCTGATTAATTCTATTCAAAAGTATTTTAAGGTTTAAGTAATGCAGAGTTACTCACTGTGTGAATTCCACCTGGAATCCAGTTCCAATTACAGTTCCACAGCTTCGGGAAGAGAGGAGCAGAGGATGAATGTCATTTCTCGCAAGCCTGTCCTTTTAGGAGGATATCAAAGTGTCTGTGTTTTTTTCTCTCTGCTTCAGAGTCTAGAATCCCTTTAACTAACAGCCCTTGTACTTGCTTTCTCAGTTCCTCACTGTTTTAAGCTCCCAGTGTGCTGCTGTCTGCGAGGCGCTCACCAGCTCTAAAGCACAAAATGCAGAAGTCTTTTTAAAGACTAAAGGGGAAGCAGCAGTGACTTTTTTTTCTTAAACCACAGAACCACATGTTCTAACACTCTAGTCATTTTGATTATCTGGCCAGTTTGAGCACCAGATCACATAACATGACAAAGAACATTTACCATTTACCGAAACAGATATTTTAATGGCAGATTACACACATTAATTTATTTATTTATTTATTTTTTACAGTGTATATTATACTGTTTATTGCCATTTTATAAAAGCAGTAAACCACTTGAGGCCACACATTACAGTGATTTTAATTCAGGTAGGAGGTTTAACTTTAGCACAGTCCTTTAACCAAGGGAAAATCATGTCAGCACTGCAGTAACACAAACCTGGTTTTCTACAAAAATGGCTCTTAAAAAGTGGCCTGGGCCCAAATCTATGAAGCATCTCAGAGTAAGAACACTCCTCTAAGATCAGAAAAATGCAGTTTGGCATCATGTTTTTTTTTTTGTTTTTTTTCCCCTCTCCTAGCCCCACTGTGTGTTGTTGGCATCGAAGGAGAATTCAGCTCCAGTGAAGCTGGGAGGCTTTGGAGTTGCTATCCAGCTTGGAGAGTCAGGACTCGTGGCAGGAGGTAAGCACTGTCAAGCACTGCAGCCAATAATGTAAACTATATACAAAGTGTGTGTGGGTGTTTTCATGTGTAGTTCTTTTTAAATGAACCAAACTCAGGTCTGTTAAAGTGAACCTGAAAGAGAACCAGCTGCAAATGACCTCAATATTCACAGTGTAAGTGATCATTAAAGGGCACTCAGTTTTCTCTCTGGTCCTCTTAAGCATTATGAGATCTCAATGCATTTGTTTACACCAGATCCCACCTGGGTCACAGTAGGGTTGTGTAAGTTCATCATATCATTGGATCTGATTGGCTACATTAAGTATTAAGGGCTGTAGCACGTTGTGTGCTACCTCGGGCACAAGGAGGACGCTGGAGGCAGGGGTCATGGTTGCAGAAGGCATTTCACTTTTAATTTCAAGTTCAACCACAAACAAACAAAACAAAACCACAACCAAACCAGGCCACTTTTCATTGGCTTCACCCTAGACTTTTCAGTCCTTTTCACACTTGAGTTTTTCATCTCTTCAGTCCTCTGCTGCTGCTCATCCGTCTCTCTGTCTCCCTGTTCCCTCTCTGCTCTTTTTGAAAGATGCTCAGGTGAGCACCTGAGCCGAGAGTGAACAAGAGCTCCCTGCTCCGTACCCCCCCAACCCCCGTCACTGCACCCCCGTCTCCGCCCCTGCTCCACAGCTCGTCCGACTGGCTCCAACATGAGGTGTAATTAAGCGGCCTCGCTGCGGAACAGGGGGCAGGGCCTGGGCGGCGGAGTTCGGGACTTGCTTGCCACCTTCGTGCCTCTCGTGACCGTCGTCGTCGTCATCCCCTCCCACGCGGCTGATGTCCTCCTCCAACCGTCACTCTTGTCTCTTGCGGTGCTCGGGATTTCCGTGCCGCCCCCACTCACTCACGGTTCTCTGCCCACCGTCCTCACCAGTGTTTGTCCTCGCTCAGAGTTCAGGCCCTGCCTCCCTGCCGGCTCTCACAGCCGTCATCAGGGCCTGGGGCACTAGCGCATGCCATAAGGGCTTACTGTTGTTTATGAAATCATCTTTGCTGAAGTCATTTATTTTAATATTGTGTTTCATTATACTGTACACTGTAAACAAGGTACTGTAAAATATAATAGTAAATACCCATTTCTGTAAAAAAAAGTTAACTGCATGTAAATAAAGTGTACATATACTATTTTTTAACACTGCTAAAGTGAACCTGAAAGAGAACCAGCTGCAAATGACTGAAATAGGATGTAAATTTACAGAAACAAATGATCACCTCTATTTCACAGACATTTGAGTTTATTTGCACTTATTTGGTTGTTACTGTTAAAATTACTGCATGTCAGAATAAGGCACTGAACTAGTTAAACTGTTGAATCACAGTAAAAGGTGGTATTTCTAAGAGATTAAATGACTGCAATTTTACAAAATTTTACCATCATTGAGAAAGCACACTTTTATTGTTGATTAACAGGTTTTATATGCCACCTTTGCAATTTTCTACAGATTTCACTGATTTTTTTACAATCTATTTTATTTTACAATGTGTATTTAATTGTTAATTGCTGTTTTATAAAAGCAGTCAAGCCACTTGAGGCCACGCATTACAGTGATTTTAATTCAGGGAGGAAGTTTAACTTTAGCACTGCCCTTAAACCAAGGGAAAATCATGGTTTTCTACACAAATGACACTTAAAATGTGGCCTAGGCCCAAATTTATGAAGCATCTCAGAATAAGAACACTGCTCTAAGATCAGCATAAAGGAATTGCAACTCAACATTCTTACTCTGAGGTGTTTGATAAATATGGGCTGTGATTTTCATCCATGTCATGAAAATAAATGATCTTATTCTCAACCTTTTGCAGTGACGTTTTATTAACCAAAGGTTTAATGTCTGGCCCACACTACAGGATAATTGGGCAGATTTTGAGGCCGATTTGCTCCCCCCGACAATCGCAAAAGGTGTCATGATATCAGGGTGATCTTAAACGATGATCTTCTCAGATTACCCTGTGGCGTGGAGCGTCTATAATCCAATAGTCCAATCTTTACTCCTCCGATCTACTCCCAATGCAGCCCCGATTGTGAATTTGAAATATTAAACATATTTACAACTCAGTATCCTGTAGTATGGGGTGGACATCAACTCTCTGGTGTGAAACACGGTGTTAATGTCATGCCTGAAAGACCCTCAACCGATGTTCAGCCGAGCTGAACTAAGTTTGTAATGTTAGTTTACCAAACTCCTACAAGGTTTTGAGAATCAGAACCATTGGAGGAGTTTGTTGTGAAATGTGCCGTTTAACATTGTTTTACGATAACAATTGCAGTGTTAGGCTTAGGCCTAAAATACTAACACTTACTTTTTAAAACACATTTATGGCAGAGAAGTACATATAGGGCACTGTAGGGCAAAATGTTACCTAATAAATAATAATAATAGAGCCTTTTTTTAGATTAACCAGTATTTTACCATTATTAAATCACAAATAAAATTCAGAAGGCATGTAGGTTCACTGGTGGTTTTCTATAGCAAATAAAATGACTATATGTATGTTGTAGACATTGTGACCCCTGGTTCCTAAAGGCTTTAAGTCAATAAATCTAGACTGGCACATTTCACAGAGTGAGTTTGTTAACATCTTAACGATGGAAGTCCCCTTTAAGCACTCAAAGTCTTTGATGGAAAAATTTGACAACTCATATTTAATAACTAATGGAATCTCTTTCCCACCAAAACCTTTTTGTGTCTGCTGATCAGTCGTACGTATTTTGACGTATTCCTTTATTTAGAATTGTTTCAGTTCATCTATATTTTTGGGATGTCTTTCATGAGCAGCTGGTTTCAGATCACACTACAGCTTTTCAGTGGAACTTAGTACTTTCAATACAATTTATTTGAGTCGTTCTGTTGTTGATTAGCTCTTGGATAATTGGATGTTGAATAAGTCATTTGAGCTTTAGATTACTGACAGATACTCAACCATGCAGTCTTGGGAAACAGCTTGTAATTCATTTGTCCCTCAGTGGTTGCAGACATTGCAGGCCATTCATGCTGCTCACAAAAACAATCTCACATCATTACACTCCCTCCACCATGCTTCACAGATGGGACTTGAAAAATTTAGGTGACATTTGCAGGATAACTTCGAAGCGTTCTCGAACATTTATGTCACAACGGTTTCGCAAGATTAGATTAAAGCGATTATCTCTCCAGGCCACATTTCTTTGAATGCTCCTGATGCTGCGTGACTTTGCACCAGGGTATGTGTTCACAACCAGCTTCCTGTCTTGCTACATAGCAGAACACTTCTGACCTCATGTGAGGTGTTCTCTTTTTTGAAACTTAACCTTTGTAACAATCCTCACATGGGATTTAACAGAGGCTGTAGGTTAAACATATGCAGACCCCACCGCAGTTCCTGCTGAATTACTGAGCCATCCTTTCTCGTATGTCTGAACCAAGAACTGAAACTAATGTTTCCTGTGAGTGCAGGTGCAGTTGAATGCTTTAACTATTGCTTTTTGCATTTTAAGCACAGAATTCACAGAAGGCACACAGTTTGTGATGTGGCATTTTGAACTACTGTGCTCTCTGGCAGTTGAACTACAATACATGTCCACACATTCACCTGCTCATCCAATGTTTCTTCTGAAATTATTTAGTTAATTGACTAGTTCTGGATCACAAACGCCACTCCAATTACACCTCTGCAGGTCAGTGCTGGGGGGGGCTCTATACTCCTGTGTCTAGCTGACCCTTGGCATTGGACATGGTGATCTTAGCCTCATATGCTGCTGCTCCTGAGTCATATTCTATTGGAAGTGATTTTCTATGGAGATTATACAAGATAAATGTGCACAGAACACCTGTGTTAGCAATGGGTGAATCTTAGTAGCCTAATTCCCCAGATAGGAGGTGTGTCTGGACACTTTTGGACATGTATTGTACATGAATTGGTCAAAAGCACTGGCAGCGTGTGTGTCTATGTAATGTGTATCGTGCATGTTATTTGTGCTACAGGCCGGGTAGGTACCCCTCACTTTATGGCTCCTGAGGTGGTGAAGAGGGAACCATATGGGAAGCCAGTAGACGTGTGGGGCTGCGGAGTCATCCTGTTCATCCTGCTCAGCGGCTGCCTGCCCTTCTATGGCACGAAAGAGCGCCTGTTTGAGGGCATTATTAAAGGCAAATACAAGGTAGTGGCTTGACTTCACTCTTAAACATAAATCTTGCTTAATTGGTCTCAGCTTGTACGTGAACCTTTCATTGATGTAGAATTTCTTTAAACTATAAAAAGGTTCTTCACACTCACACATCTTCAAAAAAAAACATCCAGTTTTTTTTTTTTTAATAATTAAAAGTGGTTCTTCTATGGCGTCACTTATTTCCATGGCATTGCTCCTTATTGTACCTTTATCTTAAAGAGTAGGTAATATCCATCATACTAAACTTAAGTCTCACTGATCCTTGTGTAAGATCAGAAAGAGATATCAGGCTATTCAGTAGTCAGATAAGGTGCTGAATCATGAATGGTAGAAACCATATATCACCATTGTGGGTTTGGATGTGGCCTAAAGCACAAATAAGGCAGTTACTACCTAGATGTATGTTTGAGATTGCAAACTGTATTATAAATTGTATTGTGCTTTGTTAACACTGAGGGGTATAAAGTTGTATTACATATTTGTTAAAATGTAATTACATAATAATAATAATATTGAATTATGTATTTGTGTAATGAATACATTTTCCAAGTCAAGATATGTCAAAATGTTAAGAATGTGTAGTTTTTTACCTGTACACACAGTAATAAATCAAATACAATGAAAAGTACAGAATCCACAGTTTTGATACAATGACTTTTGTTTTAATGAGCTACTACTAGAAGCGGGTAGAAAAGCCTAAATCCATACTCAAGTATTGTTGCTTCAGTGAAATAATGACTCAAATGGAAGTTAAAGCACATTTAGAAGAAACAATTTAAGTAAAAATACACAAGTACTAAGTATGTTTTACACACCTAAAAAATAACTTCAAGGGTTCTTGAGTAAAGAAAATGGTTATATATAGAACCCTGAGCGCTCAAAGAACCCTTTGCATTATTAAAGGTTCTTTGCATCCAGAAAGAGTTCTTCAGGTTAATGGAGAATGTGCTGTAGTTGGTTCTACATAGAAAGTGTTCTGCTATTGTTGCAAGCTTGACATCATCACAATAGGAGAACCCTTTTTGGTGCTATTCAGAACCTTTTCAAAAGGTTCTATATAGAACCTTATACAACACATTCTCCATCTATCTGAAGAACCCTTTAATCGTGCATACATCTTAATACACCATAATACATCCAGCATCTATAAGCCAAGAAGTTTGTTAGAAGCTAAGCTTCTCTTTTTAGTTCATTTTTGGTCTAAAATAAAATGAAAAGAATCCAGAGATGTGACCAAATGCAAACCAGTACGGATGCTGTCACCAGTGTAATATAATGAAATTAAACTAAATGTTAATGGTTAAAATGTGAGAAAAAAGTAGATTTTTTTCTCTACCAAGGTAGTTGAGTAGAAGTAAAAGTATTATGTTTTGAAAAAGAATGCATTTGTAAATTCACTTGAGTGCTAGTAAATGTGAGTAAACATAACTAGCCATCCAATCATTACCATCTACCTTTGGCTTCTCCATGGAGGCACCCAGAAGGGTTAGGAGATATACTGCTATCACATACTTCAGCCTACATATATAAAGCAGTGTGTATGAAGTTTATCATCTCTCTTAAAGGCCTCTTTATGTGTATTTTATGTTTGTGTTTCTGTATGTGACGCTCTCTGCAGATGAACCCCCGGCAGTGGAGTCACATCTCCGAGAGTGCTAAAGATTTGGTGCGGCGCATGCTGATGCTGGACCCAGCTGAGAGGATCACTGTGTACGAGGCCCTCAACCATCCTTGGCTCAAGGTACTCAGGACTCCATTACTACAGCTAACTTTAACCAGAGTGACACTGTGGTTCGAGGTGTTGTAACAGAAGGAAATTAACAAAGCAGTTCTCGGGTTTGTATGCGATTGACTACATTCTTAAGACAGAACAGAAAAGTGAAAGAAAAAGCATGCAGACATTACAAGGCATCCCCCTGCTTGATAAAAACTCCATGGTGGCACTGGGTTGATGACCTCAGTTCCTCATTTACATCATTCATCCTTTTTCCTCAGTCATTTTCTATCTGATTGGCAGAGCTACATTTAAAGCTGTTGTAAGATACTACACACAGTACTACATTCATCGGTTGAATCCTATGTTAATGCACCTTAACATCTCTCGTGGCTTATTGTTGTAGTGTTGTGCTTCTACATTTGCATTCCTTACAACAAAAGCTTGTGACAGTCTGAAATCCTGCTCAAGCAAGTCACCATTGTTGTTTTCAATGTACTCCTACAACCACAGGTACAGTGTTTGTCTGGATGTCTACAGATCAAAATTTGCCTTTGTTGATCAGCTTAATGACTGCACATACATTTTTTGTTGTGTGTAATAACATGCATAATTTGTCAATGATTTGAATGTATGACGAAACAGATAATTCAGTTCCTATCACCTTTTAACTGTGTAAGAAATTTGCTACTGGATTAGTTAAGGTGGTGTTTTTGTGGGCTGGCATTCTTTTATGAATCACATGCAAATAAGGAAAAAGAGTGGCAATGCTGCATATCACAAAAATGTTAAAATAGGCCAGTAAACCTTCTCATTAAATCTGACAGTACATTTCATAAAGCTGGCCCAATAGGTCCAAAGGTTTGCAGATTTGCAGTACTTGTTTGAGCATTGCTGTGAGGATTTGAATGAAATTAGCCAGAGGAGCATTAGTGAGGTCAGGTGCTGATGTTGTCGGATAAGAAGAAAGGAGAAAGGAACTCCAAGAAGTTACAATTAAAGATGTTTTTTATGCATATATATATATATATATATATATATATATATAGAGAGAGAGAGAGAGAGAGAGAGAGAGGGAGAGAGAGACACTGAATTTGTATCTCTACTTATTATTGAATACTTTATGTAGGTTTACAGTCACTGACTGTAGCTCAATTCTTGTTGCAGTTTCTCAGACCCCCTATACCCCATTCATCAGTGGAAAAGGACCACCATAGGATCAGCACTGAGTAGATATTACTTGAGTGTGGATCATTCTCAGCACAGCAGTGTCACCTGCACAGTAGTGGCATGGTAGTGTCTCTTGCTCTGGTACGAGTGTACTTTACTCACTTCAGTGATAATGCTGGGTTAAGAATAGTCCACAAGCAAGAATATTCAGTCAGCAGTGGTTCTGTGGTCACGATTTGTTTGGGAAAAAAAGGAGTTATATTCTCTATCTGTACATCTAGAAGCTGGATAAATTAGATAGATGGGCAGTAAGTGTACACAGTGTTAAAAATCCCAGTAACACTGCTGAGTCTGAGGCACTCATAGCAGCACAACAAATACTATCAGGCCGCTACCATAGCAGTGTCACTACTGGGCTGAGAATGACCAATCACCAAATGATTAACTGGTCATTGGTGATCCTTTCCATTGGCAAATGGCTAACAAATTGTACAACAAGAGGTACAGTCAGTAGGTTTCAACCTACAAAGTAAACCTAGACCAATATACACTCTCAGAAAAAAAGGTAGTAAACTGTCATTGGGGCAGTACTGCTCTTGTCACTGGTGTGGCCCCCTTCAAGGTTACATCTCAGTACCTTTAATTAGGGAAGATAACTGTACCATAATCCATTGAAATTCTGTTGTATTGTCTCCCACACCCCATCTCGTCTCAAGGCTTTTATTTTATTGTTCTGTTTTAAAACATGAGGTTACGAAAAGTTAAAAATATGTACTTTTCCACTGGAAAAAACTTATTTAAGGTGCACAGTTGGACCTTAAAACCACTGTTGTACCTTTGAAGGTACATTTTACATTGTTTGTACCTTGATGAATGAAAAATGTACCCGTACAGTACCTTTTATTTCTGACAGTGTATATATACAGATATAGTATTTATTGATTGATAAGTTATGTATAAAATTAAAAGGTGTGTATATTTGTGTGTTTTAGGAGAGAGACCGCTACGCCTACAAGATCCACCTGCCTGAGACAGTGGAACAGTTGAGGAAGTTCAATGCCCGGAGAAAACTGAAAGTAAGGCTTTTTCCTTTTGGACCCTGCTGTATGTACAAGTATGTAAGGCAATCCTTTCATCCTGAGAAATATTCTGGTCGTTTATGAATTAAAAATATGTTTTTGACTGTCTAGTGATTCTAAACAGTTTGTAAAGAACAGTGAAAACATCTACTCCTAGTCCTACTAAAGAGTATTAGATTCCTACTGTTTTGTAGTGCACCATTTCCCAGTGTTCAGCTGTCATCTCCATCTCTTTATAGAGAGTTCTACAGAAAAGAGGGACAGATGTGGTGGGTCATGTATGCTCCTTTTCTACAATGTCCTAGACTGTGTGATTGAGTAGGTTGGCTCACCCTAGAGACCAAGAATTTAGATGGTAGTATTTTTACTGGAGCTGACCAAGCAGAACTTACTTACTTATTATCAACATATTATGCTTGTGCCTTTGTGTTTAGGGTGCTGTACTAGCAGCAGTCTCCAGCCACAAGTTCAACTCCTTCTATGGTGACCCACCAGAGGAGCTGGCTGACTTCTCTGAAGATCCCACCTCATCTGGTACTCATCTACCACAACACTGCAAACCAACACATGCATCATACTTCTCACTGTTTTTTCTAGGTTCTTATTCTTACAGACAGTGAAGTGTTGGACATAAACATACACTTACTGTCAACTTTATTAGGTATATGTATCTTATATCTACACTCAATATCCATTTTTTCAGCTCCACTTACAATACAGGCACACTTTGTAGTTCTACAATTACAGACTGTAGTTCATCATTTAAGCTGCATAGTTTGTTAACTCCCCTTTGCCACGTTCGTCAATAGTCAGAACCCCACAGGACCACCACTGAGATGGTATTATTTGGTGGTGGATCATTGTCAGCACTGCCAGAAACTGATCGCTGAGAAACTAGAGGATGACTCTTACAAATAGCAAAAGATGAGCTGTCATCTCTTATTGTACATCTGCAGAGTGGACCAACAAGGAAGCTGTGTAAATGGACAGTAAGTGTTGTTGGGTAGTTTACAACAGCCTGACTAAGATAAAGAAATACTTTTAGAAAATGTATGAAAAACATCCATTCATAATTTCTGTGATGTGACATACTCCAAAAAGCAAAAAGAGGAAACTGTGATTTGGAAATGTAAATAGAAAGATGGTCAGTTTTAATTAAAAGGAAATGCCTTTCAGAAACACAAAAAGGAAACAACATGATTAAAAGAAGAGATGAAAAGGGAGAAAAATCATCTCAAAAAGTCAGCATATTCACACAGAAACACATAACCTCACAGACAAAGGCTTAACTACTGTAAAAAAAAGTCTCAAAAGCCAAATTAGAGAGAGAGAGGAGGATGAGAGCACTCTCAAGTGTCTCCCTCAGCCTAACACAGACTTGGACAAACGAGTTGTACATTCATACACGAAAGTATCAACACTACAGTACATTGTGTTGTGTTTTTTTTTGTGAAAAAGTGAAAAGTTAACATATCCTCTACAAGGAACACATTTAAATACAGCATTTTTCTGCAAATTTTAGTGCACAAGTTCTATTTATTTGCTGAGTTTAACATATTGGGGAAAAATGAACATATAAAATTTCCCATAACTTGCGCACAGGCCACATTTTATGTTTTATTTTTTTTCCCAATATCTAGCAACTAAGCAGTAATTGCGCATAAAATGTGGAGGAGAGTGTTCTCTGTAGAGCATGTGTATGCTTATTTTCACTTATAAAATCAACAAAAGATGTCATTTGACCAGCAGTGCTCAAACTTTTGCATACAACTGTGTCCAATGCTCAGTTCTACAGTGCTAGAAATATACAGATTCGTTACAATAGGGCAGACCGCCATGTCTGGTAGGAAAAAAAAACTGATTTAATCACCACAGTCAGCCAACTGTGGTCACGCCAGGTGCTAATGTGGGAATTCTGTTTCACAACCCAGCACATTTTTGGTGTGGCTTCAGCAAAATCTTTTCAGTAGAAAAAGGCTGTAATTTTAGACCTACAAACTGCACCTATATGGCATGGTGGATTTGTCTGTAGTCAAGGACAGACCAGAAAACCAAATATTGCCTTTCACTCTGATGAGTGTTTTATAAAGCTTAAATCACAAGCCCACCTCACTCTCCCACATCAGGGTATGATTACAATGCAAGAGCTTAAATATGCTTCCTGAACAGATTACAGACATAATCCCTGATACACACATGCATACATGTGTGCACACTTAAGTACATATAATAGGTCATCTTGCTCTCTCTCTCCATTTCACAAGTCACTAACCTCTTCTACTGGGGAAGCTTATTGGCCCTGTGGTGGCCTTACAGATATAGCAAGATAAGCGCATATGATAGGTCAACTTGCTCTCGCTCTCTCCATTGCTCAGCTTCTTCTAAGGAAGCTGCATCTCCTTATCAGTCTTACGGTGACCTTACAGATATAACAAGAACAGAGACCTGTGACACCAAATACATCTTTGCTGAGGAGGAGAGACATAAACCACAATCATGTAATAAATTGTATACACATAAAGCTACAGCTGTTGATTAGTAATAATGTACTCTGCATTCCTCAATGGCAAGTTACACTACTAAAATGAATGATGCATGTAAACACAAGGTGGGTACCTAAAAAAGTAGACATTTCACATATTGAGGATGATTGAATAGCGAATGTAAATATTACAATAGTGAATAATCTAATGGCTGAACTCTGTCATTTGTAACGTTTCACTGGTTTTGTGTTTAGAGCCTTTAGCTCTTTAAAATCTGCCCCTAGAGTAGGTGGCGCGCATGCATGTCCACCCAGTAGTGAAAAGTAATAGCAAGCTAAAGGTGACTGAAGTACATTCTTATTCACTTTTGCTTGCTCAGAATAGCAGTTTGTGACACAAAGCACATCATTTCACCTGGTAGCTCTTGTTCCTTGTACGTATGACAACAGCATTGAGAGGTCACATTTATTAAAGGAAAAGAATAGATTAAAAGGCAAAAAAAAGACACTTTTTGGCTCTGGATCAAAGAAATAAACAGTCATAATGATTCTCTTGCTCCTTTTGACTAGTTTATAGTTTATCATGTTTGTTCCCTTTTGTGCAGCTGCTTGGTTTTATGCCCTTGCAACACTTTTTACATCCTGTTTTCAGAAAGCCTTGTCGCTTATGAGCAGATTTAATGGAGATAACATGAATGACATGATGTAAACATGTAAACGTAAACGTATTTGTCAACTAAAACCCACTAGTTCACTTAGAGCTTATGTTACATAACAGAGCATAGGTAAAGCATCTGCAGTGTTAAAATTATCTTCTGAAAGATTTTATTGTCGTCTAGCATAAACGTGACTGATGTACAGACACATTTAGATTTCTTTGAAAGGTAGCTGTTGTGTGTATGTTCGTGGTTGTTATTGGATGGGTTGGTCTGACTACTTCTACTAGCTTATTTCCTTCTAAATGTAATATTTATTGTTTGTCCCAATGCTGGCCTCACCCCAGGACTGCTAGCAGCAGAAAGTACGTATCTTCTGCATCACTGTATCACTTCTCCTTGTTTATAGATTCTGTGGTTTCCCAAACAATCTTTCATATCCTCACCTTTGACATCAAACTTACACTTCCATATCTATTCGTGATTTCTGCGTAAAACAGTACTGTATTGCTAAATTTGGTCTGATCATGTTATTTTTGGTGGTTATACATTTGAATACACTAAGGTGGTTTGCAGATGTTTGCCATGTGCTAAAGATCACATTTTGTGTGTGTGTGTGTGTGTGTGTGTGTGTGTGTGTTTTAGGGGCTGTATCACAGGTACTGGACAGTTTGGAGGAGATTCATGCACTGACAGACTGCAGTGAGAAAGATCTAGACTTTCTGCACAGCGTCTTTCAGGACCAGCATCTCCACACGCTGCTAGATGTGAGTGACTTCACACACACATGCATTGCCACTCAAAGGTTTGGTTTACATGTTGTTGATGACATAAATTCCATCCTGATACAGTATAGTAAATACATAGGTAAATATGCAATAATTACAATTACAGGTAATTTCTGCTACATACTTTGCAAGTACACAGTAAATTGTGAAATTACCAGATACATACAGGAGTTACTTACAGCTGTACTTCTGTATGTTTTTATTTTTCCATACTCATCTCACAACAAGATTCACACACACACACACACACACACATACACACACACACACATTGTCTAAGCCACGTATCCTCCTGGGTTGTGGGGGTGCTGGAGCCTAACCCAGCAGTCATTGGGCGGAAAACAGGAAACAACGTAGACATTCACAACTAGAAGCAATTTAGTTTGTTCAATTGGCCTGACTGCATGTCTTTTAACCGTGGGAGGAAAACAGAGCACCCGGAGGAAACCCATGCAGACACACATGCGGACTCCACACAGAAAGGACTCTGGTCATTTGGCCGGGGAATCAAACCCAGGCCCTTCTTGCTGTGAGGCGACAGCGCTACCAAAAGATAAACTGTCATACGTAAAAGTATGGGCAATTTACATGTTTTGTTGATTTCATAAATGAAAATAATTTTACACATCCTCTACAGAGAACACACTTCTGCACATTGTAGTACTCAATTACTGTTTGTTTGCTGAATTTAATGTATTAGAAACAATGTTTTATTGTTTTCTAATATACTAAACTCAACTAATAGAAATTATGCACAGATGTTTGCAGAAAAATGCCATATTTAGGTTTATTTCCTATAGAGGATGTGTTCATTTATTTTCACTTAGAGAATCAACAACCAATACTTTTACAAGGGGTGTTCAGACTTTTGCATAAAACTATACACCATTTACCTTTGACCATTCTACTAGCGTTGATAGTATTGTGTGATTGGGAGAGTCCTAACTAGCGGGTGTAATTGGAGATGACTAAACTGGGGAGAAAATTGGGTAGAAATCCCCCCCAAAAAATTGTGTTTGGGGCATTTTCTTTTTAAGTAGTTGAATCTTACCATAGCTAGGATTGAATGTGAGCGCTGGCAATAATGAAGAATACAGCCTAAGTTAACTTGATATTTGATAGGGCAGCTGCTCACCTTACTCCCCTAACCCGCAGTCTCACAAGATGACATGAATATGGAGGAAGTAATTGACCAAAAAGTTAGCTTGTTAAAGAGTCAAACTTGTTTTGTTTTTTTTTTTTTTTATAAGCTGTTGAGTCAAGGCCCCAAAAATATACCTTAACATGGTCAATTTCACACACTTGCTTCGATTTGAATAGTGACCTGGAAATAGTTCAGAAGTTTGAATATTTCTTCTTCGTTTTTATATTGTCAAAACTTTTCTTTGTTTAAATTTTTTAAGATTCTAAAACTTTCTGTTGTTTATTTCCTGGCATAAAATTGAACAGTGATGAATACAGCTCCACATGCTTCATGCGCACATCACCCAACACTCTGAATTAACTCTGCCACAATGCCTAATCTGCATCTGCTGTATTTAATTTTTAGTAATTTAGTATTTTACCATTCATTTGCGCTGAAGCACCTGCCCTTTGGGTTCTATTATAAATGTGTTTTAAATCAAACTTCATTTAAAAAAAAAAATGCTGTTAGTGGTAATCAAAAATGCTGGAGTACACCTTTAACCCTTTGAAGTCAACCAAGTCACTTGCAACATGAAAAACCACATCTCATATACTGTTTAATAACTTCAAAATCATTTGGAGTAGAAACTTATTTTAAATTGTTTTCTTCCAGAGATGGAAAGTCGTTATTTGAAATCTACTCAGAGTTTACTGTCAAATGTCCTGCTTTTTTGTTATTTTGTTTGGGTTATAAAAGTTATTTTGTTTGGGTTTTGTTAAATGTCTTGCTGCTCCGAAATTTCTAATGAGAAAAAGACTTTAGTAGTCTAATATGTGTTTCCCCTTGATTTTTAGTGGAGATCTCAGTAAAAACAGACATTATGCTCAGATTTGCCAAGATATTATCACTATGTTCATCTTCAACTGAACTAAAGCATAACTATTATAATTTTATCTGAGTCAGAAGTGTCTAATTTCTCCTTTTTATCTAATGTGATTTTGTCTTAAGAAATTTTAGGAAATTGCCCATCTAGTCTTGTGAGTCATCAAACAACATTTGAGCAATAAAAATTCCTCTAGGATGAGATAAAATACCCTATAGTTGCTTGCAACAGGGGTGTTTACTTTTACTGTTAAATCTATGTATGGAAAGTACACAAAAATAGGCTTGCAGCTTAGAGGGATAAAGAGACTTTCAAGTAATAGTAGTAAAAAGTTATATGTAAAAATTGCACAGTTTGCTTTAGGTTGCAATATCATTGGCAATCATAGGACTGTTTTCAGTACCTCATTGTACTCTGCATAAAGCTTCATAATGAGGACTTGGCCTGAGGACTCTTTATTCATTATTCATTTATTGTCTGTATATAAGCTTGCAAGTACACACTACTCATGCACACATACACATACATATGACTGCGCTTTTGTGTACAGTCAATACTGTCAGTGTGCGTTTGTCTGGGTGTGAATAAGTGCAGCTGCAGACCACCGCTCAGCCTGTTATGGTGTGTCTGTGGGGGTCCACACTGTGGCCTGTGAGGAGGAAGGCACAGTGAGGCGATGCCTGAGTATACAGGACCTAAACACAGGGGAGGGCCTTAGGCTTATGGCAGGCCGCGAGTGTGCATGGCCCATTGAAGACCCATTGAAAACAAGCTCCTGCACTGAAAAGAGAGAGGAACAATAGCACCTATTGTCAGTCTTGGCTCTTTCAGTGCCATGGCTCCAGCAGAATCTGTCTGTCTGAGCGACTGCTCCAGACGTTAAGACGTTGCCATTTTCTCTATCAAAGTTATGGGCAGAGAGTCGAGTTTGGCTGGAACTTTAGCTCCGTGATACAGAGGAAGCAGTGATTGCTCTTCCCCCTGCGCCAGCAGTGTCTGCGTTCACTGCCTGCTTTAGTCTGGAGCCAGTTGCTTGGGTTTGTGTCTAGTCTGGGTTTGGTGAGTAAGTCTGACTATTTTCTGTGAGTCTTTGTTTACTCAGACTGCTCTTGTTGTTATTGTAGTTCCCGCTGTGTTGCATTGGAAGTTAGCAGAAGTTTTTCAGAATTTTGCATTCAACCTGAATGCTGCTTAATATGAGTTGTATATGGTAACTCCTCTATATACTGTGGGAAACGAATGGATGTTTTATTTAAAAAACAAAAAACATGCTCTTCTGTGCTAAACAGAAAAAATAGTACAAAAAATTATCATCATAACTTAGTGCAGGGTGATATATCATCTATACCAGTATTACGCTAGATATCTGTCCTGGTCTGACATTAGCAGAAAATACTGGATCTGATATAAAAGGAAAAACAAATTCTGTTGCAGATGTATTCTAAAAATGGCACAGAATTGCCACAGCAACCCTGAGAATCGTAAAGTGGCATAAAATAAGTCACGTTATAACTAACATCAATTTATAACATGATGACATTTCGTGATAACAATAAAGGTGGGAAAGTACAGTGTTTGAGTGGTTTGAACATGGTGTGTAAATGTATGAATAGTATTAAAAAAATTGTAATTTTGCAGATTTTTTTAAGTAAAAAACATTATACAGGCTTCAGTATCGGTATGGGTATTGGAAAAGAAAAAGTGTGTGGTTCTGTGATTCTTCATTTTCACGTTTCTCTTACAACAAACACAAACAGCATGGTGGAGAAGTCTAGTTAGATTGAAAAGGATAGGAGAGCATTTTAAATGGAATGCTGACAATTTTCAGCTCTGACAGAGTGAGCTGCAGTACAGCTTTTCTAAACAGAAAGTGTTCAAACAGCTCTGTATGGCAGAGAAACATGATCTCTTGTGCAGCAGTCCTGTTAAAAAATATAGTAATTAAAGAAAACATTTTAAAAAGGTAAGGAAATTGATTTTCTGATCAGTAGGTTATGGGGAAGTCAGGGAAGCCAAAGGTACACAAGTTGTGACATATAGGAAGTTTACCATGGAAACGTCAATTTTTATACCAATAAACCGTAACTTGCGTGCCAACAGTTAGTTAAGAGCAGTTTTCAGCAAGTGTTACTTTAACTTTATTAATGCTAACCTAAATATTCTTTGATATGTGATATGAAGTGACTGTACCACCATTATACTATGATGCCTTTTGGAAATATCATGATATTGAGTTCTGTCAATACTGCCCAACTGATCATAATCAACTTTTTGCGTTTTGTGAATGAAAGCTCATGGCCTGATGTCAGAAGCTCTTTTCTGAAGAAATAAACCACATTGGCTTTCACAGGAAAAGCAGGTTTCCTGGTCACTCTTGCATTGCTTTCTCAGAATAAATATAGTCGTGATAGTGATGTTTGGTCAATGCTCGAATTGAGACTGAGCTGACTGAGCAGAAACTGATTGAGTTATGGTATATAAGTAGTTAGATGGTTTTAAGTTCAATTCGTACTTTTGTGTACGCTAGATATTTGATTGATTGATTGCAGTAAACTCCTTTAGCTGAGACAGTTGCAGAGCTGTGGGGCAGGTGAGGAAAGGCACTATCACTTCCATACTCAAGTTCATCTTCAAATAATAATAGCTACAAGTACTTATAGGTGTTTCTTAGCTCTGATTACAGTTATTTGAGATAATCGCAATTATTTAAGTTGACCACATTTATTTTTCACAGTATTCCATATCGTATTGTGTGCAGAGTATGAAATTGATGCATTTTCAATATCAAAAGTGAAATTTTGGTTGACTCTGCACATGATCTATCTAATTATAGAAACTTGTGATGACAGTGCAGTGTATGATTCCATGTCAGTATGATCTAGTAGTGTTAGCTACTACGAAAGATAGCTAGGAAGCAAGATAGCTAATCAGCCAATTTTACTGCTTTGGTAGCATGAATAAACTGAACCAAAAAGACAATAAAATCATTGATCGCAACTATTTATAAGATATTTAATCATGAGCTAAAATTTCATGATTGTGACAGGCCTTGTGTTTACCTTAGGACTGTATATCGATAACTTTCTGCTAGAACTTTTGCTTTTATGATTTTGTTGGTAAATAAGTTGACACAGTGTCTGACCTTTAGAGAACATAGACAGTTTCTAGACAAGCAAAATGCAAACACATTTGATTTACTTTAGTGAAACATTAGGAAAATGTCAAGTGAAAAGAGAGTATGAATAATGTGAATCAAAGTGAAACTGGTGACTGTATGACTAGTTTGGTGATGATTAGCCTGGTAGTTTATGAGTTAGAGTTGCTCTTTTGTTTTGTTTTTTGTTTTGTATTTTTGAAAAGACATAAGCTTATAATATATAAAAGTGAAGAAAAAAAAATGTAAAAATTTAGGACAGATTTTCTCAGGTCAAAGAGTCCAAATCCAGAAGAATTTCCATTCTACACCTCATGGTTTAGCAGTTACTCACCAAACATAAACATGCATTTTATAGCACGCTATAGACCCATCAGAACCCTTTTCTTCCCTGAGTAGTGGTCAGCATGGCTGTGACTTTGGAAGCATTTATAGTTTAGGAAATACAATTCAGTCAGATACAGGCTGTTTCCAAGCACTACTTGAAGGATGTACTTGCAACCCAGAAAAGAAGTCATATAGTAGTATACTGACAGGAGACCCTTCCAGTAGAGAAAACTTGAAGAAAACTGAGGTTGGTTCAGATGTTTGAATATTTTAATCATTTATTTAAAGAAGACTAAATGCAAGCTTTTCTTATTTATTCATAAAATGTATCCTTTAGTTGGCCTTCATTGCTGGAGCCGTCATGTACGTCAAGCACATTGTGAAAGATAGATTTAAAGTTACTATACCTCATTAAATCTTCCCTAATAGCACACGTCTTTCACTGTGTTAGATTTAAGGCCAATGACTTATGCCTAAGTAATTAATGAGGCCTGTCATTAACCCTCATTGAAATGGCAGATAAGATGTAATTAGCTCACCAATCTGCGATTCTCATTTTGTGGTTTACTAACACAAAACAACACTGTTCACTTGTTGATCAATTGCATTATCCTCATTAACTGTATGCTTTTCTTTGCTTCGTTTGTTCTTGTTTTCCAGCTGTACGACAAGATAAACACCAAGTCCTCCCCACAAATCAGAAATCCTCCAAGCGACGCTGTTCAGAGAGCCAAAGAGGTCAGTACAGTCTCCTGCAGCACCTAACACTCAAACCTCCATCACTGCAGACAGTCAGGCATTTCCAGAATCATCCAGGGCCAATTTTAGAGCAAGTTACTTCCGCTGCAGTCTTCATCGTTTTAGTCTGAAAGGAGAGGCTGATCTCAGAGTCTAAATTAAACCAGAGCATATGCATAAGTAATAACTGGCCTCCAGACAGCCTCTGCAGCAGCTCTCAGGTAAAGCATGGCACAGATGGACATTGCTCTGTACACTCTTAAACAAAGGGGTTCTTCAAGTATTCTTTAGTAAAGACAGTGGAGAATAACAGTTGAAAGAATATGTGAATGCTTAAATGATTCTTTTAATCTAATTCTGCTAAAATTGGCTTCCTAATTTTATGTGTATCTGTTGTTATTAATGTTATTGTTTTTACGTACATCCCCATGATGGGGAACTTGTTTGTATGTAGTTATTTAAAGCACCTTTTGAAATGGCTCATATAACACAAAACAGCTACAAGCCTTATAAACCTTTAGGTACTCCATAGAGCCCTTTTTGCTGTGAGTGTACAAGATGAGACTGGATATGCACAATCTAAGAAATACAGTCATTCATATTCAACTTAGCCATTTTATGATATTTAAAGATTCCTGCTTTCTCCAGTTGCATGTTGTCTGTTGTTCCCTGAGAATGCCACTCCATTTGTCATGGGTTTTGAAGTAGTTTCATTAGAGCTAATGACTCAAAAACTCACCGCATGCCTCTGTCTGGCTGCTCAAGAATCAGAATATCTCTTCTCCACACATCTGTAGCTTTCAACTTTAGCTTTAGCTCCAGCTCACTTTCTCTGCTTTCTGTTTTCTCTCTGTGTGTCAGTCTACAAAGCTCATGGTGGATTTTTGGTTCTGTAGCATCTGATGTATGTGTGCATGAGTCAGTTCAGTTTTCAAGCCCAGATTGTTCTTGTTCAGTCTGTTCTGCAAATTCAACAGTTCATACGTAAGTTAACATGAAGCTGGAGACAGACAGGTCTAATCTACTCATGAATTGATCTCGGCTGTTCTTTATACAGTACCTCTGTGTGGTGTCATTTATGACCTTTGTTAAAGGGGAATTCCACTGATCTTGCAAGATTTCTACTTTCTATTCAACACCTTAGGAAACATAAAAGATGCTCATTAGTATTAGTATTAGTAAGTGGAATGCACCATTTTTTCAAAATGTCACGAGAATTCAACAGTTGAGATGTAGACAAAGTCATTCAGAGTGATTTGATGTAAAATAGTTAATTGTGGAGAAAATTTTTGACTTTTTGTGGTGATGATAGGAACCAGGGATCACAATCACAACCACACCTTTTGAGATTTATATACATGCTGGGGATGGTAAAATAGTTCCAAATCCAGAAAATGTCTTCTTTTGGTACTGCATGCACCTCTTCACCATGAATGGATTTTTAAAAATATATATTAGGTCAAATCTTAAAAATTACTGTAAACGCAGTGTCTCAGTCATCAGGTGGCATATGTTTAACCGTTTTGTGTAATGACAGCTTTAACAGGCCAGCGATGGCTGTTCATAATGTTCAATGGGGGGGCTGAAAAGAATTACACCTATGAGGGGCTTCAGGAGCTCACACACCATAGTAACACATTTGAGAGCCACTTCCAGCTACGACAGTAAATTCATGGAAAAAGCTAAGTTACCACTGGTTGCACTTAAAGGTTTAAATGTTGATGTGCACCATTACCTAATACTAAAAGAAGCTAACAGAACAATCCCAGTATATTTCACGGCAGTATTACACTTTTTATCACATGCAACATAAAGATTTAAGTTGAAATCATTACTGAGGGACTCTGTAAAACAGCAATACATAAATTCTATCTGTTGCAAGCATTAATAAGCTTTAAGTGTCATTGTTATAAGCTGCAAATATGTATGTACTATATGATGCTATAACACCCCAGCGAAGTGTGAGGAGGACTTGCAGAACGTGCAAGAGAGTTTATGTTCACATCCGTCTCATAATCTTGTGGTCAACTATAAATAAATGTATATTCGATCAGTCCTGACAATTAAAGAACAGGGTGAAAGGGGGCTGACAAAGTGTGTAAAGTCACTGATGGATTAGAGTCTGTAATTGTAGAACTACAAAGTGCACCTATATAGTATAGCTGGTAAAATGGACAATGAGTGTAGAAACAAGGAGGTGTTTTTAACTTTATGGCTGTACATGTCATTACTGAAAAAGTTGATCTAACATAAAGTTGGCATTGAAATTTCCACCTTGACCAGAATGATTATTCTGATGAAAAACTGACGTCACCCTGCCATCTGGGTTGGCATGGAGTCACAGATTGGCTGAGCGACTGCGCAGCTTGCGTTAGATGTAAACAAACCTGATCTTAACCCATTCTTATTTTTCTTATGACCTTTTGGTGGCGCTATTTTTGGCAGGTCCACAATCAGCCTCTAGTCATTTATTAACTGTAAAAAAAGTAAAATGATGCAAAAGCCAAAAATTCTTTAAAAGAAGCCAAGTTTTCTTTAAGAGAGAGAGAGAGGGCTAAGCCCCACTAGCCCATTTATACCAGCCCACCTACCATTAGAGACATTAAACGTTTTGGACGTCTGGTTCCTGTCACCACCACTGTAAATAATTCTGGCTCAATATGTTTGTCTAGAGCAGAGAATGTCACATTATAATGCTCTGATCTTAATTATTTACTCATGCAAATATTTTTGAAAAAACTGTGCCATTCACCTTTAAGAGGCTAAGTCCCAGTGCTTTCCCTACTATTTTTGAAAGCAGTTCAAAAAGCAGCTCATTAGTTTGATTAAAGTTAAGTTGTGTGACTAGACTCTTGTTTTCACTCAGTGTTTCTTATAAAGTTTGCTTGGTACCAGGTAGCTGACATTTACAACCCCCTCTGTGGTCTAATGCTTGTGTGAATACATGGTGGATTTCTGCATAAATTACAGTGTGTCTAGAGCCGCCTCTAATAAAAAGAAGTATAGGGAGTTTCTAGCAGAGGTTAGTATATAAAAAGACTGTGTTCGCTCAGGCTTGAAATGTGAAAAGTTTTGTTGATTTTGCAGAAGAAATTGCAAAAGAGAAAAGAAAAGCAAGTAAATAAAGGCCACATAGAGCATGACAGAGCTGCTCTGTTAGCACTGGAACAAGACCAATATTCATAGACTTGAGGGGAAAAAGGCTCACACAGTTAATGCATAGTACACAGACGTAGTACAAGTGGTACTTAAAGGGGAATTTCACTGACTTTTCAAAATTGCCTTACATTAAGATGTAAAGAAAGTCATTAGAGTGTGATGTGAAATGGTTCATGCTAGAGAAAGTTACAGACTCGGATTTCTTTACAGTGGTAGTGATAGGAAGCTGGGGTTGCGATGTCTATAATACAAATACATCCGTTTTGTTTACTATCCAAACCACCAGTGAACCTGCACGTGTCTTTTGAGTTTTTCTGTGTAATGTTCACTGTAATGCACTGCATGTATCTTTTTACCATGAATTAATTTTTTTAAAAATTAGTTTAAGGCCAAAATCCTAAATCTCAAAATTAAAATAAAAGAATGTCTCAGACATCAGATAACGTATTGATAACCACTTGATGATGTAATTACTTTTTGTAAGGTAGCTTTTAGTGGCATTGAACTCTTCAGATGTCTGGCTCAAATCACCAGCACTGCAACTTTCTCTAGAATGGAGCATTTCACATTAGACCACTCTGAATGACTTTGTTTATATCTTAATGACTTCTGCAGAAAATCTGTTCCATTTGTGAAATTCCCTTTGAAACAGAATTAATCTTTTAATAAGTGAAACTGCACAGGTCATCATATAAGCGTGATCTTATACACTGCACTGCTGTAATGTGCCTTAAGTGTGAGTGTGTGTGCGTGTGAGTGTTACTTTGCTTGCCTTTCTGTGTTTTACTGCCTGTATGCTCTAGCCTCACTGTGCCTCAGTTTATAGAAACATAACTGTTAAAGTAACATACTTCACTTACTAGTAAGGTTTACAGAGTAGTGTAGTGATGCTAACCAACCCTTCTTGACCACAGGAGTGCTAAACACCATCTCATACAAATCCATAAACTTGTAGCAGCAAAATGAACTTGGGTGGCTCTGAAGTCGTCATGTTCACCCAACATTAGTTATCGTTTCAGTGATCTACTTACCACATCCTTTTCAAAGTGCTGCCAAATTTGCAATAGGACAGTGCATGACAAGTAGAATGAGCTTAAGCAGAAGCACACTGTTTAATGGTGTAGTATAAAGCTCTTATTGCTTAATAAGATATAATAAGTTATATGCCCCTGCTCAAATGCTGTTTTGGTGATTTTCTAAGTGAAAATCTCCTCTACAGAGAATGCACATTGCACATTCACAGTGCATTTTAAAGCACAATAAGTGTTACTTTGCAGAACTTAACATACTGAAGAAAAACATAAAACATAAAATGTGCTCTATGCAAAAGTAACTGCACCTATTAGATTTTGTGTTTTATTTTTTCCAAGCAAATTTGCAGAAAACTGTCATATTTTTTTGTAATATTTTTGCAGGGAACAAATTTATTCCCTGTAGAGAAAGTGTTTGGTTAGAAAATCAGCAAAACTTGTCACTTGACCTGGGGGAATTCATATATTCGTATACTTTTGCATACAATGGTAATGTGATCACTTACCCCAAAAGTTGATTCTTTTGTTTTGCACACCAGCTATGATGCTAATGCAGCTAGCAAGCAGTGGCAGCTTATTCAAATCAGCATTGTGCATCGCCACATTATCTCAAACTTGCCTCAAACCTTGTCCAGTTGTTAAATAACCTTAAACAGACTTGCTTATGAGCTTTCTGACTTTGGAGCTTTAATTGGGCCTGACATTTTGGCCCGAACCCAAATACAGCTTACGTATTTACTGTCCAAACTCGACCTGAACCACAAAAAGAGTGGTTTCAAACAACATCTCAGCACTTTTAGTCTGGTTAAACTTTCCATAACGCACTGTTCTCGGGCTGTGTGGTGCTGATTATTTCAAATGCATCTATTTTCTTACAAACATGGATTTTGCCGTTAAATTTTGTCAACAACATGATTTGGTGAACTCAGCATACCAGATTACAAACTGTTTTAATGTAGTGAAAGTAGGGGAGGATAGTAAAGTAAGGACAAAAGCTAAAACAGGGAGAAATGCAAGTCTTTTATGAGAGATGGGAGGTAAATATACCCAGATTTGAACCTGGCCCAAGTCTGACACGTTTGAAAATGATGTTTGAGCCTGTCTGAACCCGTCTGACCCTGACTGGACTGAAGTATGACAGTAGTAGCAGCCTTCTTTTAGCCTGAATTCTGCTTGAACGTCTATGTAGTGTCAGTTTCATTCATTCATTCATCATCTAAACCGCTTATCCTTCTGGGTCGCGGTGGGGCGCTGGAGCCTATCCCAGCTGTCACCGGGCAGAAGGCAGGATACACCCTGGACAGGTCGCCAGTCCATCGCAGGGCAGACAGACAGACATACACATTCACACACTCACTCACACCTAGGAGCAATTTAGCACGTCCAATCAGCCTGACTGCATGTTTTTGGACTGTGGGAGGAAACCGGAGTACCCGGGGGAAACCCACGCAGACACAGGGAGAACAGGCAAACTCCACACAGAAATGACCCTGGTCACCCGGCCGGGAATCGAACCCAGGCCATTCTTGCTGTGAGGCGACAGCGCTACCCACTGCGCCACCCTGTCAGTTTCATATGCAAGTTTATTTGAGATTGCTAACAACTTGTGGTTTGAGGTCACTGTGTTAGGCGTGAACTTTGTATAAGATAAATAGCTGCTGTACCCTTCCCTTACATTTTAGCTACATTAGCTCTAGTGCAAAACTACTGAAGCAAACTTCAGACACCAAACAGGTTTTGGCTGATCAGCTACGTTTAGAGTAAGCGGGAAACTGTAGATCTGATTTTTCACCAGGTCATTGAATTAAAGTAATGCTGCAGCTTTTTCGACCTTTTCTCTGTCCGCCGCATCTTTATTGTGTAGTTGATGACCACTGAGACTTTTTTCTGTACTTACAAAACCAAAAATCTGCTGACTCCAAGCATACGTAATAGAAGACAATAGGCCATTATTTCAACATTACTGTCTGTGGTAAACGACTGCACGCGATCCAGCAGATAGAGATTACATTGAAAAAAACTGTATTATTCTTCTAAGCAAACAGGGGAATTTGTGCTGGTTCAACTGCTCAGAAAGTCTGTCTGGCCTGCTTTCTGTCTCAGCCACAACTCAGAGTGACCCTATAAAAGCCAACTTGCTGCTCTCTCATAACAAATCAAAACATCCTTCAGACCTGCTGGGATTAAAAGGGCTTTTCTCTCTAATAACCTGTTCTTGCTTTCTCGCCTCCTCTCACTGGCCATATTGAAATGCCTTAAAGTGGTCCTTTACAGAGGGGGCAGCTGCCTGTGGCCAGCAGGGGCATGGGCTGAGACTAACTCATTTCCCCTCACTGAACCCCACCTGAAACACCATCCTTACTGTCCCCTGAACATGTGTAACCATTCAAACAGAGCACTAGCATAAAATGTGTAACTGTCCTGTGTGTGTCTCCTATGCTAAGAAGTCCGGTGAAGACGAGGCAGGCACAGCTTTGAAACTTCTGGAATGTGTAAGCTGAAGACATTTTCCAAGATTTTAATCCTACTAATGTTTCTTTGCTCTCGTAGTTTGTTTGAAAGCATTGTGGTACTAGGTGTGGGGGAGGGGCAGTCGAGGGCTACTAGCATCATAGTTTATGTGCAATGTTTATACTCCTGTTAATGCACCATGCATGGCCTTTTATTGATAAACAAAGAGGTCTTTAAGAACATTTCATTAGTTATATTGGGGCCGTCAAACAATTAGAATAATTCATTGCAATTGATCCCATTGTTTTTGTACAGTTAATCACGATTAATCACATTTGTCTAATTTGCTCAACTGCTTCTGTGGGAAAGAAAGCCTACAACCACATGAATGAAATCTGAACAGTCTAACAAATAGGGTTGTCACTATCAATTATGTGGGTAATCAAGTGGTCTACCGATTATTTTGACAATTAATCGATTAATCTGACTTTTTTTCAAAGATTCCAAGGAGCATTTTTGGAAAAATTTAAACAAGGAAGCCTTTAAACAACATTCCATTAGTTCTATTAGGGCTGTGCTAAAACTTCATGAATAAAATCTAAACAGTATAGCGAGTGTGGCTGTCATTGTCAAGTAGATTAATAATCAAGTGATCTGCCAATTATGTTGGTAATTAATTGAGGATTTTTTGAAAAAAGCCAAACAATAAAAAAACAAATTAACTGAACAGTAACAAACCATGTATAGCCCTTCAAAGATTCCAGAGTTCTTTCTTGCAAAAAGATAAAGTCTTTGAAGTCTTTAAGCACATTTCATTAGATATATTAGGGCTGTCAAACAATTATAAAAATATAAAATAATTATGATTAATCACATTATTTTTGTGCAGTTCATCACAATTAATCACATTTATCTTATTTGCTCAACTGCTTCGGTGGGAGAGAAAGCCTACAACCACATGAGTGAAATCTGCTGAGTACAGCAAATAGCTTTGTCACTATCAATTATGTGAGTGTTCAAGTGATCTACCGATTATTTTGACAATTAATCGATTAATCTGACTTTTTGAAAAAAGGCCAAACTATAAAAACAGACTTAAATAAACAATAATGAACCATGCATAGCCTTTCAAAGATTCCAAAGAACTTTTCTGGAAAAATGTAAACAAGGAAGCCTTTAAACAACATTCTGTTAGTTCTGTTAGGGCTGTCAAAGGATTTGAATAATTCATCTCTATTAATCATATTATTTTGCGCAGTTAATCACGATTAACTGCGTTTAATCTGCTAAACTGCTTCTGAGGAAAAAAACCTAAAACTTCATGAATAAAATCTAAACTGTATAGCGAGTGTGGCTGTCACTGTCAAATATATCAATAATCAAGTGATCTACCAATTATATTGTTATTATATGGTAAAAAATTAAAAAGAATAAAAAAAAAAGCCAAACAATAAAAAACATATTAACTGAACAGTAACAAACCATGTATAGCCTCTCAAAGATTCCAAAATACTTTCTTGGTCTTCGAAGTCTTTGAAAATATTTTAGTAGTAATATTAGGGCTTTCAAATTATTTAAATAATCATGATTAACGATTAATCACTTGTTTGTGCAGCTAATTGGACAAAATTAGTAATTAATTGCATTTGTCTTATTTGCTCAATTTTTTCTATTGAAAAAGCATAAAAATATGCTTAATCAGAATGCTTTGATTACTTTCAGTAATTCAGTACTAGCATTTTTAATGTGTGAATGCAGAGTTCACATGAACCTGAACATGAAAATCATGTGATTTACATAAAATGAATGCAGTTTCCAATTTTCACCACCAACGTCCAGTAAGAGCAGCAGTATACACATACATAAAGAGTCAATGATGCTAACTTCTCTGTGACTGTAGCCTCTCGCTTTCGTCCATACAGCTAATTCTTGTTACAGTGAAAGCTCTCAAAGGGAACTCAAGCTTTCCACTTTGCCTATTGCTTTTGTTTGTTTGCTACTTGTTGATTTATCCATAGTATCAAGTATTTGTATTTATTTAAATAATCATGACAGCCCTGATTGCAAATACCCTAAAACACTTCTAATATGGGAGAACAAGAGAGAGTATCTTAATGGAGTTATAAAATAACTAAAGTTTGGGAGGACAGTGCCTGAAACCCCTCCTCCTAGAACTCCAACCCAAGCCTCAGAGTTCTCTTTCCTCCTACAGGCATAAGATCATTTCTCATACTGCAGCCATACTCAAGGCAGGGTCCAAACCCTTTAGAATTATTTTGTTATTCCTCATTGAGCAGTTTTTATTGTTGTTTTTGTTTTCCTGACACAGACTTTCAGTTCACTTTCAACACTTTCAGTTGCATATTTGCCCTTTTTTTAAGTAGTCATGTTTCCTCAATGACAACAGTTACAAAAAGGCATTAGGGTATCTACATCTTTACTTTTGATTAAAAATAATAGTTTAAAATTAGCTTGAAATGAAAATAAACACTAAAAATAGTACTTTAAGTTTCTCTCTGTAATTAGTAAAATATGAGACATCGTTCTGTTTCTGCGGGACGTGAGGCAAGCTTTTGATTTTCAGGACGTTCCTGTGAAATGGGATGGGTGGTCACTCTAGAAGAAGGGCTGGTTAGAGTAAAGGGTATTTGGTGTGTGATAGTGTGAGACTCTTGAGCATAGTAATCTGTGAAGATCAGCTGGGGTTCCCAGTTTGAGGTCCAGATTCACACTGGCTCCACAACCACACACATTCAGCATGGAGATGTGACATGTCTGCAATGCTGGACCCAAAGCAGTAGTCACATGAGGCCTGGGGTTATGCCAGAAAAGGGTGTGTGTTTGGATGTGTCTGTGTGTGTAAAAGTGTGTGTGGGGTGTCAGCAGACTGGCCCAAAGCTGCTCAGCTGTGTCTGGAAGTCTGTAAGGAAAAGCTGAGAAAGATTTCATCTTGAAGAAACTCTTACATGACTGTGTTTCTACAGGTACTAGAAGAAATCTCCTGCTACCCAGAGAACACGGATGCTAAAGAGCTCAGACGGATCCTAACCCAGCCCCATTTTATGGTAAGTTAAGCCAGCTAAGATGCTTTAATGACCTGCTCTTGCACCCGAGAACATCTCTGTAGTTTGTTTTTTTCACTTAATGCTGCAAAAATGGAAAGAAGTAGTATTACTGATTTAGGAAAAAATGACATGCACTTGGGTCGGATTTTGTAGAGGTTTTTAACATTATAACATCCTTACATATTATCATCACACACAGGCTCAAAAAGAAGATCCAATGACTTAGTGTTTAGGTCTCAAATTCAAAATCAAGATCAGCGCTGAACACTATACTAATACATCCTCAGTTCTTCGTGGCATGGATTCCACAAGATGCTCATGGTTCATGTTGACATAATTGCATCGTGCAATTCATGTACTTTCATGCTGTGAATCTCCTGTTCTACCACATCCCAAAGGTGTTCTATTGGATTCAGATCCGGTGACTGGGAAGACCACTGAAGAACATTGAACTTCATGTTCATAAACCAGTTTAAGATAACTTTTGCTTTGTGACATGGTGCAGCATCATGCTGGAAGTGGCCATTAAAAGATGCATATGGTCAGCAACGGTACTCAAATAGGCTGTGGCATTCAAGCAATGATTGATTGATTGATTTTTAACTGGCCCAAAGTGAGCCAAGAAAATATTACCCACACCATTACACCACCTCCACCAACCTGGACTGCTGACACAAGGCATGTTGGGTAATGGATTCATTCTGTTGGCACCTAATTCTGACCCTACCATCTGTGTGCCTCAGCAGAAATTGACCAGGCTGCGTTTTTCCAGTCTTCAACTGTCCGGTTTTAGTGAGCCTGTGCCCACTGCAGCCTCAGCTTTCTGTCTTCTGCTGTTGTAGCCCATCCACCTCCAGGTTCAATGTGTTGTGCATTCTGAGATGCTTTTCTGCTCACCACAATTGTATATAATATTTATCTAAAGTATTGTATCCTTTCTGTCAGCTCAAACCAATCTGGCCATTCTCTGTTGACCTCTTTCATAAACAAGGTATTTCTGTCCCCAGAGCTACCACTCACTAAAGTCACTTCTTTATTGCACCATTCTGAGTAAGCTCTAGAGACTGTTGTGTGCGAAATTCCTGGTTAGCAGTTATAGAAATACTGAAACCAGCATGTCTGACACCAACAATCACACCACGGTGAATGTCACTGAGCACATTTTCCCTTATTCTGATGGTTGATGTGAACATTACCTGAGGCTGCAGGCCTGTATCTGTATGATTTTATGCACTGCACTGCTGCCAGACTGATCACATAATATAATTGCATAAATGAGTAGGTGTACAGGTGTTCCTGTATAGTTCTCAGTGAGTGTATAACGATAACGATATGATGACAATAGTAGATAATTCACTTACATCCTCAGAAGACACATCGTTCACCAATGTTTAACCGAGATCGCTATCAATTTTCTTATAACGGGCTTGCAATCATCACATTCATCCACTCTAGCTTCTAAGTGACCTTATCAAGTCAAAGTTTCTTTCTGCACTGGCAGATCATTTTACTTTCTTCAAGCACTATTTTCTCAATAAACAAAAAATTGCCAGTGCAGTTATTTCATTTTACTTGCTTTTATAAAAAAGTGTTACATGTTGGTTTTAGGTCTAGAAAGATTACATCACATTTTATAGTCTCTTAAAAAGTCAGTAAGGAGTTCCTCAGTGTCACGGCTGCTTTAGGATTTGCAGTATTAAAAGTATGATATATGCAGTGTTGGTGATGTTATGTTGTTTTAGAAAAAAATTCATTAAATTCTGACCTCCTATTATTTGTTTTTGTAAATGACTGTGCAAACAGGGAAATAACAGTGCTCGCCATTGAATTTACAGTTTGACCACAGGGAAACAGAGCTGTTATTATTATTATTATAAATTATTATTATTGTTGGGCTGGTTGTTGCACATAGAGGTTTTTGTAACTAGACTAGGTTTTATTATAGTATTACAGACAAAAAAAAGGAGGAGATGATTCACTGGTTGAAAAATGATTAAAGCTTGTAGTGCTCAACATAGCATCTGTTTACAGGGAGAGTCCCACCTAAAACCCTAAAAGCCAGCAAGAGGACAAGCTCTCCATCAGTATGTAAATATGTGCAATAGCCAGACTAAGTTTAAAAAAAAAACTTTGAGCTAAATGCTAGAAACCACTAATCCAGTTTTTACCAGATTTTAGCAACGATATAAATTGTTTCAAATATGTTTTAGAAATGTTGACATGGCTTCATTTTCAGGTTTACGGCTCTCTCAAAGAGAGGCTGGTCTTGTATGACGAACCTCCCCAGGGTGTGGCCAAGATAACCACCTTAGTAGACAGACTTTCCTGTGAACTCTGTGGTTGTGATCAAGCAGAAGTCTCACCCACCAAACTGGGTGATTGTTAGAGTGCTGTGTAGTCCCGTAGCTACTAGGACCCCATCAACAACCCAAACATCTTTACTTGGACTCTTTGAAGCCTAAGTTTGATAGAAGCATAGACTCTAAAAACAAAATACAACACATTCTGTCTCTCACTAGACACATCGCGTTGAGTTGGAGACAACACATTTTGTTACTTTTAACACAGACTGTGTTAAATCAGATAACAGTATGACACAAAAGTTGAAACGGGTAACATAAGTGAATGTGTTGTTATTTAACACATCCTTTTTTAGAGTGTCAAGTCCATTGTTTCAGAAAAGTTCTGTTCTGTAAAGTACTCCCAAAATAGTCTCTCACTCTAACTGACAATAGAAAGTCTCAAATCTTATTTCCAAAGAACTTATTATCAGTACCAAAATCATTTACTTTGTAAAAAAAGAAGACTTGATGGGCTCAGTGGCTCTGAGTAATTACATTGTGCCAACTGTTGTTCTCCTGTAATCAAGGAGATGGCCTTGGTTTGGAGAAGAGAGAGTGCTTATGCTCTTATCAGCGGGACAAATGTCATGTCAGAGCTTCAGGTGCCGACAGATGAAGAGGGGTGAACATGGCCTTTCTTCTGCTCAGACTGTTAGTCAATAAGGCTCAGCTAATGAGCAGACCGGAGACAGGTCTAATCTGTTACAGAGCTTAGAGTGAATACCCGCTACTCAGCTTTCTGCAGATACTGCGTGAAAGATGAAGGCATCTGCAGGAGGAGAGAAGATAGATAGAGGAGAAAAATGTGGAAGAGATTAAGAGTCTAATAGAGGTGAAACTAAATATTCAGAGGAGGTGAGATAAGCGAGAGAGATATCTGAAGCAGAACTGAGCGAGAGTGAGAGGTGGAGATTATAGGAACGGAATACAAGTTATTTGAGCTGCTCTGAGAAGTTTTAAGACTTAAAGTGATGGTTCAGACAAAATTATTACACAGTTTTGCATTTGCTTCAGATGTGGTCCATCAGTAAAGACGTGTGGTGTCTGAAGTGTACTGTTTTAAGTTTTGCACTAGAGCTATGAGGCTAACGTGGCTAATGGAAGCTTATACTGCTAAGATTAGCACTGTGCAACTACAGGAATCGTCACACTTGTTTATGTGGTTTCTGATGCTGTGTGATACACGGTTTATTCGATTTTATCCATTTAAAAAAAAAACAAAAGGTCAGAAATAACGTTTGTAATTCAGTTTGAAAACTACGGTTGATGTTCTGCTACTATGGTTGTTGGCTATGCAAGCTGCACCTTTGTCTGTTTTTCTAGGTAATAGAATGTCATTCGATGTCACATAAGATTGTCTGTTTGAGATTACTTAACAACTAGATGAGGTTTCAGGCAAGTGTTATGATTGTCAGGCAGTTTGCACAATAAGTGGCTGTAAGCTTTCGTTACTTATTACACTGCCCAAGCGTTTGTTGACACCTGCTGCTCCAAAATTTCTTCTGAAATCAATGGTATTAATAGGGAGTTTGTCCCCCATTTCTGCAGTAACAGCCTCTACTCTTCTGGGAAGGCTTTAAACTACAAGCTGGAAATGTTGCTATGAGGATTTGTTTGAATTCAGTCACAAGAGCATTAGTGAGGTCCGTTACAGATGTTGGATGTTAGTTCTTGATAACAAACTCCACTCCAACTCATACACAAAGGTTTCAGATGGAGCTCCATCACTCCAGAAAACACAGTTCTGCTGCTCAACAGCTCAAAGCTGGGGGTTCTGTACCCCTCTAGCTAAGGCTTGGCACTGGGCATGGTGGCCTCAGGCTTGTGTGCAGCTGCTCCAGAGCCTCTGGTAATGCTTGGTAGGATACTTGTTGGGTGCCTCTGCAAGAGAATCCCCCCCCAGCAACAAGAAATGCAAGAGAATTCTAAAAGTTATTTTGGAAATCCAGTGTTTTTATATTTGTAGTTTTACCAGTTTTACTGTTTGGTAATAGTGTGCATCTTAGTCAAGTACACTGTGAAAACTGATAGATATGATGACATTAATAGATAACTCACTTACATCCTCAGAAGACACATCTTTCCCCAAGTTAAGACTGAGTTCTCTTCTAATCCTCTTTCAACACATCCGCAAAAGTCAGGTCCATCTGCTTGTGGGGGTTTGAAGCACAACCCATGTTGCAAACTTTTTCTTCCGCACGTTGGGTGCAGTTACATATTTCCACTAGAGAGGTCTCCAACTCCCTAAATCCTACAGAGTATTGCTTTAAAGGGGCCGAATCAAGGAAAAAAAAACATTTTTATCACTTGAAATATAAAAGTTTTATGCAGTCTGTCAGCATGTAGCAAAACATGTTATTCACTCCAGAGTCCATACAGTCTGCATCTGGACATTTAGCTGCAAAACCAGCCCAGTAAAACGTTTCTGTGATGTCAGAGAAGGCAGCTCATTTACATATCCGCCTGTCCAGCCTACAGCAGTGTAGCTCCACCTGTACACACTGATGTTATAAGGAGTGTTTGAATGAGGCACAGTACAAGGCAGAAAATCAGACCGGAGCTCATTTACATAAATCATTCTTAAAGGCACAGTACAAAAACAGAAAAACCGCTTGTTTTAATTCTATGAGATAAAGAGAGGTTGTAAAATGATCATGT